GGGGGAGGAGAGGGGAGAGAAAGGTGCAGAGGCGGAGGAAGGAGAGAGGTTTTCTGGATGTCCAGTTCCCCCTCCTGAGCTGCGCGCCTCGCTGTCTGTATCAGAGCCGGAGTGGAAACGGCAGCATCAGCACCATCCCTGAATCTTCTGGCTTTTACGCACGGATCGCTTGTGTACCATCCTCCAGATGATGCTCAGACAGGCGCGTCTCCTCCACACACACACACACAAACACACACACACCTCTCTCTGCTGCTGCTGCTGCTGTATTGGCGTCACACACACACACACGCGCGCGCACACTCACACTAAGTCATCGGCCTAAATTTGGATTTCAGTGTGTTTTCATGCAGCTCCTTCTACACACAGAGAGAAAAAACAACAACAACAAAAAAAACCTCCTCCTCCTTGTTTATCCGGATCAAACGTACTCCAGGTCCAGTTTGTTCTCCTCGATGATCCTCCTTATCAATAAAAATCGGTCCTGGCGGTGAGTGATGATATCATAAAATCATCAATCTGGGCCCACCTCGGCTGCCGCATCACTGTTGTCCTTCTGGCTTTTTTTTTTTCTCCCCCTGATCGGATCCCCCCTCCGACCGTGTATTATTCTGATTTTTTTTCTTCTCCTGCTGTAATAACGTTGCTCTTGTCGCGGTTCACACCCCTCCACACAGCCGCCTCCTCCTCCTCCTCCCCTCCTCCTCTGCCGTCCTCCAACCGTACCAGGGCGGGGAAACACACCTCACCGCGCCGACATGTGCAGGTCCTCCGCCAGCGGCCGATGCAACGCCGAGCCCCGCAGCCCCGCGCTCCGCTTCACACCTCCGCGGTGAGAGCAAATAGCAAACAGAAGGGGGAGAAGGAAGAAAAAAAAAACGGGGGAGAAGGTGCAGCTCCTCCTCGCAGCCAGGAGAGGAAGAAGAAGAAGAAAAAACCCTTGAAGGCCCGTGTTATACAATAGCACCCCGTCTATGTCTGTCAGACTGACGCGTTCTGCTCCTGTCCCCCTTCTCGGTTCCCGTTATCCGGTTGTCCTACAGCGTCTCGGCGAGCTGCGTCAAGACGCACCGAGTGAGGCAGGAGGAGGGCGGAAGTGAAGCGTTCAGGCCTTCAAAACAAAAGGCGGTTAATGTGCTGGAATTTTAATAAAGCAAAAAAAACAGCTGATGGGTTCAAAACAAACCCCTTCCTTTCCCTCTCTGGGCCAAACTGTAAAAGATAAACAGCTTTTATGTGTAATTTCTTTTTGGAAATGTGCTGTCATTTAACAGGTTTTTGGTTTTGTGTTAAATTACAAATAATAGCTAATAAATCACAGAAAAAAAGTATTAATTTACATGTTAACTGTGAGAAAACCGGCAAAAATGGACTAAAATCACATTATACACGGAACAAAAATGTAAACGCAACACTTTTGTTTTTGCTCCCATTTTTTATGAGCTGAACTCAAAGATCTGAGACTTTTTCTATGAACACAAAAGGCTTATATCTCTTAAATATTGTTCACAAATTTGTCTAAATCTATGTACGTGAGCACTTCTTGACATGTCACATCTGTGAGGTGGATGCGTTTACATTTTGTTCAGTGTATATACTACACATAACACATATATAAACACTAGAATATACTACACACAACAATAACAGTAAAGCTTACCCACAGGGAACTTTGAGGTTTTTAGTTTTTTGGTGTATTTTTTTATAGTCATACCTCCTAAATAATAATAATAATAATAAATAATAATAAACCTCCTTGAATGAATGTTAAAAACGAGTAAAAGACATGGACATGGGTTGATTAATTTTACATTTCTAAAAATTACATGTGTAAATATGTAAATCAAGTTGGTACAACAAAGAAAGAAAGCCAATTAACTGCATATATCTCCATATTTGCTTGATTTAATTACTGTAATCCGACCAATCATTTTTGACTGCAAACATGTTTAACTTAAACTTCAACAGTGTCTAAATACAGTCGAATGTTGGACTTACAATTTAAATTAGTCACTTAAGTTCTATTTAAATATTTTTGTAGGATTTTCATGCCTAATATTTACCTTAAATAAAATATTTAAATAAACATGAGCGTCAAACATGTGCCCATAAACCTGGTTTCTAGACATTGCCTCGATAATTAACACTTCTTTGTGCGATCTGGCCAACTAGAACACTGAACACAAAGCAGTGATTGTGAATGGAAGAAGCCTCTTCAGAGTTCAGAGAATCAAAGGTTGGTTGGTTAATTTGGGCCGGCCATGTGAGGCTTACTGACATAACAGGATGCCTTAAGAACTAAAGATAAACATCTTTCAAAGCGAGGTGTTGACTTGCAGAGAAAAAAAAATAAAGAAAAAGAGGTTTAAAGTCTCACATCTCTGATGCAGTCTTTAAAATGCCAGAGATCAACGTATCGGCACTAAAGGGCAGCAAGATGTACCGAAATAAACTCTGGAGTTAAAAATGATAAGATTACACTGGAGCTCCCTGATCAGCTGCTACATTAAAACCACCACAACAGCTCTGACCCATCAGGTCACTGATGCCAGAACCTCCGAGGGCGTCCGGTGGATTCTGGCACCAGATCCTGGAGGTCCTCTGATTTGTGCAGTGGAGCCTCCATGGATCAGGTTAATACCAGCGCATCCCATGCAAGCTTGATTAGAATCTGGGGCGTTTGGAGGCCGGGTCAACACCTTGTGATCTCCTTGAGCTGCTCCTGAAAAGTTTTGGCAGCGTGTGTTGTCCTGCTGGGGGAGAACGCTGCCTTCAGGGAACTCTGTTGACATGAGAGGCGTGAAACAGTGTTTAGGGTGGAGGTACATGTAAAGTAACGTCTAGGACTCACGGTTTCCCAGCAGAACTGTTAGTGGTTTAAATGTTGCAGCTGATGAGTATGAGTGTGACTCAACCTGTGATCCTTTCATTATGATGTTTCTTCTGTTGGTGCTGCACTGTGGGGAAAAAAAAAAAGAAAAAAAAAAGGTTAGCATGAAAAAACAAATGTAAATGTGTCTGCAACGTTGCCCGAAAAAATTCATTAAAACAGTGAAATACTGTAACACTGATAAACTGTAGAAACACATGAAAATAACAGAAAATATCTGTTAAAAACAATTAAATACACAAAAACTGTGTAATATTAATTAAGAACCAACAGTAATCTGTTCTGTTACAACATGTGCAGATGGTCACAAGTTGTAAAATGACAAATTCATGTTTGTAAAAATAAAAATACAGACTTTTGATCCGGCTGTTATTTATAGTTTTGGCTTGTTTTTTATGGTTAACATGTAAATGAATACTTTTTTTCCCCTGAGATTTACTAGACATCATCTTTCATTTGAAATAAAAGTTTAAAAAAAATTCACCATTTGTTCAAACTATATATAATAAATCAAAAATAACAATATACATGGTTTTTCTTACCAGCAACAGCAAATATTTGTAAAATATTTAGATTTTTAGCTGATGTAAATACAATGAAAGTTGTGTCATATTACGATCTAACATTGAACAACAACATTTGGAAATGTGCAGATTTTTGATGTGGACTTTTTTTTAGGGTTAAGAGGTACATTAATACTTTTTCCTGAGATTTTACTAATTATTATTTGTAATTAAATGACAGGAAAACATCTGTAAAATTGTTTTAACTCTTCTTCTTATCCCAGATATTGTTCAAAAAGAGGCACAACATGAGAGTAGATGTAATACCAAGTAGAAAAGCAATAAGATATAAACATGATCCACTACTGACAATAAAAAGAAACCAGCTAAATAAGACAAGAATAGAAAAGTAAGGAGTAATGCTGGCAGTGATTCTAAGATAGTAAAGTAATATATACACATAATGATGAACTGTTGCACATGAAACTGAAATATTACACATTTCATTTGCAATATTTGAGGTCATCAATGAGTTGCCCATTTTAAAATATGCATATTTTTGCTCCCTTTCTTCTCTATTTTGATATTGCTGGAGAAACTGTTTGAAAAGATGAAAAAAGAAGACAAGATGCAGCAAGGAATCAATTAAACAACACAATCAAAAGCGCAAGACAGAACGACAGAGCAAACGCTCAAACGCACCAGACCAACAGACCAACCCACCCTCCAACCTTGAAACGTCCATACCACCAAAACAACCATAAAAGTCACACAGTCACCTTGTCCCCTAGCTACCAAACCAGCGAAACCAGCAGCCCCTCCGCACTCACTCCGGCACACTCACTCATCCGCCCACCAACCAACCACCCGGCACCCACCCCTTGGCCAAAAAAAACCAAGTCCCCTCCCTTTCGCACAAAAACCCCCCACAAGAACACCCCGAGATCCCCACATCACACCAAAAAGCCCACATCTCCCCATAAGAAAAAAAGATAAAAACATCCTCTCACAAAACCCTGCGGCGAAAACTATATATCGCAAAAACCAACAAAAACACATCACAAAAGCCCAAAAAGAACACGCATATGGAGACACAAAAAACGCAGTTAACTCGTTTACTGAATATGATACTTTAATGGCCTGAGAAATACACTGATTATAGAAAAATAATATTAATTGCTTTATTAAGAATACAGTAATACTCAAGAGATAAAATAATACACAACAATATGTGGGTTTACTTTTGCAGCCTGTTTTTAGTAAATACATGCATTCTTCTTTCGGTAGTTTCTCCATTTTCCTAATAAAAGCATGGAGACAGTGTCAGGCATCCACAAAGGCTCTAGTTCTGCATTTATATTAGAAAATCTTGAAGCCTGCAGAGTCAAGATTTGCCCTTTTGTTTCAGAGCAGATTTCTCTTCAATCAGATTTTATTTTGAAGGCGGATGCTGCTTCGTCTCACTCCTTCCGCCTTGACGCAGGTTCCTCAGCCTAAAGGTGGTGCAAGGAGAGAGAGGACCGAGGCTCCTCACTGCGGATGACGCTATAGGATGGATTTATTTATTTATATGCTTTTATTTACGTGGCCCGGCTGCGCTTTTCTTTAAAAGCCGCTTCAATGTAAACGCGTGCGTCACGAGAGCCTCTCCTGCATCACCTCTGGGTGCTGTTTGTGCGCCTCGTTGGGAAATATTCGCTCCAGCATCTGTCCGACTCCCCTCCTCCTCCATTCCTCCCCCACCCCGCCTCCCGCTCCCCCATCTTGCCCTATCCGAGGTCTGTTTGTGTGCTGAGGTTGTAGTTGAGGATCAGGTCCCATCTATTGTTCTGATCTCCACACTTGTTCGCGCTCTCTTACGCGCACGGACGCGCCTCCGTCTCCAAATCAGTCACACCTCAGCTGCACTGACTGTGTTTTTGTATCATCTTATACATAATAGGTGCTCCTGCGACCCTTCCTCCTCCTCTTCCTCCTCTTCCTCCTCCTCTCCTGTGTGTCCCAGGTGAGATCAGCCACTTCCCTTCTGGGAAAACCGGAGGAAGGTTGTGCCAAAAAGTGATCCTCCACCAAAAACCTTTCCTCTGTGCATTAGTTCACCTGCTCTGTGGCCTGAGTTATAACCAACCCAGCTGCTTTTGCCTGCTGAAATAGCTTTAAATGACCAGCTCAGCTCAGGTAATGCTGCTGTACACTTGCCAAATAGTGAGTGGATCCTTTGCATTGCAACTGAAATCACTGTTTTCAATCAGGATGGTTATACTGCACAGATTATAGACTATAACTGCAAACAAGACCATTTATTCACTGTAAATATAAAAGCATCCTTAAATCATGGTCATCTATGTCTAAATAAGAATACAAAAGGCACATTTTTTCTAAGATCACAGGTGAACAGTTAATCTAACCATGAAGTAAAGGATACTTCAACATAACCTGTAATCATCCTAAATGTCACGCTTGATTACACTGTCATCTGTACTAACACTAATGTTTCGCTAAAGACACACCTGTTACGATCACAGACGTACAATTATTTGCATGTTATGTTACTTTTTAACCCAGATAAAAGTACATGTACATAAAGTGGAAGATGCAGCTTTAACATGAAGTACACAATCTTTTTTTGGCAGGTGATCACTTTTTGGCATGACGTCAGGCTGTCTGGGAGGACAAACCAACATAAGAGGCCTATTTTCCATGTCTGCTTTTTCTCCCTCTCTCTATATGTAAATATATATTGAATAAAAACATATCTCAAGAAGTATGCTGAGGTGAATAAATGGACATTGTAATTAAATCATAATAGGCTACACCTTTGGTTTGATGAAACTAATTGTAAAATCTTGAAAGGGGAGCGTCTTACATCACAAGTCATTTTAATCAATACAGATTTCTGACAAATGCAGTAGATTAACCTTATTTTCACATTTTAATGTTGCTACGACTTAAACTGCAACATAAATGCTAAATAATACATAGAAACTATTTAGGTTGTAATTTTTAGATGGCTTGATTATCACCAATTATTTCAAAACTAATGAGTTTAGGACAACTGTTATAACTTTGCTTCAACTTAATTATCAGTAATATTTAAATTCCTGACATAAAAATAAAGAGAAATCAACAACTATATGGATGAATAGCTGACAGTAGTGAGGAATTCAAGCTAGCTAGCTAGCTAGTGCTACCGTATGCTAATATAGCATCATGTTATTAGCTTAACAAAAAATCAGCTAGGTTGACTTTTGGACAGATAACACATTTTTTTACTTCTGTTATCAGTTAGTAAAGTAATATGTCATTGTATTTCATGATGGCGTGCGTTATTTAGCAAAAATCTAAGCTAGCGTGTAGAAAATGGAGGCCTTCTTACCACAAATCAAGGGGCATTTTCCTTTAAAGCACCTCAAAATTTTGATTTCCTCAAACCTAGAAAATAATTTCAATTTTATTTAAAGACTACCTACACCATTCAAGAGAAGATGTGAAAAGACAACTGGCTGTATGTAGTGGTCTCGGATGTAAATTGTGTCTTCTTACCTCGGCTAACGTCCGGCAGCACAGACACCAGAGGAGCTCCGCCGCTTAGCTTCACCAGATGCTAATAATAGGCTGTTAGGGACAACACTGTGGTTAGCAGCACTCTATTAATGTACCATACTGTAATAAGTGAGGGTTAACCTCTCAAACATGTTGTTTATATTCAAGCTGGTAACATTAGTCTGAAGTCTAATAATAGGCTATATAAGCTATTAACAGGACTGAAAGGTCATGTTAGCCCCTCTGGGATGCTAGGCTACATGTAGCTGCTAATATGCTAACATGCTAACAATGACAAGTGAGGCTGATTTAGGAAGTATTTAACTCTGCAAACCAAAGTATTAAGCAAATGATAATACTTTAATAGAGCAACAACTTCACAAAAATCACAAACGTATTCATGTTTGAAGATATTTTAGTGCAGGTCAAAATGGTGGACTTACCCAGGAGTCGACTGATGGGGTTTTTCAGGTCAGTATTGATCATTATACTCTAAAAAATCATGTTTGGCCTCAACAAACATTATTTGGTGGAGGATGTATTGACTAAGAAGATCAATGGAACAATGTCAGTATGCATATAAGATAAATCTATGCACATTCACACACTACTCTTACACAATTCACATTAATTACTCATTTAATATTTTTTGTCGTTTCTATTAAGAAACGCTTCTTTTTCTCATGACTTATTGCGCAGCAATGAGTCAAAGTGCATTTTGCTTCCCGTACTATATGAAGACGTGACAAATAGAGACCTAAAATCTCTTGATTTAAAGAAGCTGGAACCTTGTGACCTGTGGGAAGAGGATTTCAGTTACTCATGTGAATATGTAGTGGGAGGTAAATGCTTGTAATGCTTTTTTTTGTGAGAAACACTTCTAATAAATCGTAGCCTATAATACAAATCAACAGTATCCTAGAATTTCAGCTACACGGCAGACAAGAACACAGTCAAGTACAGTTTTGCAGCCAAAGTACTGGCGTCAAATTACTTTTTTAGTGATAAATAGGGAGTTACTTCTTTAATTTTCACTTTTAATTTTAGATTTTTTTCAGTATTTTCTTCAACACAGATAAAACGTCGATAAAACTACAAAAGCTGACTGTGAATGCAAAATCACACAAAAACCTGCAACTGTGAATAATCGTAAAATTCTTTAAAGATTTCTTTAAAATGAAAAATCTGGATTAAAGAAAGTTAAGTAGCTCGATAAGCTACTAGTCATACCAAACCAACTGAAAAATGACCAGTTCTTCTAAAATTGTGACTCATACGGCAAAATCCATTGAAATAATCACATTTTTTTATTCCATCATTTGGTCTTAAATAGAACACAATTCAAACTGGAACAAAAACGCAACTGCAAAATGTTTTTATTTGTAGTTAACTTTTCCTGTTGCATAAATATATTATCTAATGCATGTTAAATACAAATGGTCACACACAACTGAAAGGCCTTACACTAAATAAAACAACTCATATATATATATATATATATAATCCTATGCGTACAAAGCATCATCATCTGCATAAATCATCATTTGAAAAACCAAAATCATCATTTCGATACAATCACGCTGCATAAACTCAGTAGCATTTCCTAGCTTAAATAAAATATTAAGTTCCTATGATAGACTGAAGCAGCTCTTGGTGCTCTTATTGTCAGTTACAGGAGCCAAAAGGAAGAAAAAAAAATTAGCTTGCTGGAAATATGCACAATAAGGGATTCGCTAATTAGGCCTTTTTTTTTAATTATAGGTTTAGACTCCCATGAGTGAGGGAAGTTAGTGAGCCACTAGCTGTCACCGTCATCAACCTTAATGAAGCTGCCCCTGACAACCTCATCCCCTCGGCCTGCTGGGTTCTGCTGTTCGCTTCCTCCCAGGCAGCATGAAAAAGCCGCGTTACTTTGGAGAGCAGATTCATGAAACTTATTTAATGCAAAAAATAAAAACAAAAAAATGCTTGAATCCACATATTGACGTTTTGGTTTACGTTAAAGCTAACTGTATTTAACACTTTGCATGAACCAAATTCCCACAAAACAACAAACACATCTTCAGTTCGGAGCCTCTGAGGAAGCTTGATCTGCTCGCTGACCCACATTTGCGAGCGAAACCCAGCATTTTTAGCCTACAAGTAACTGTATAATTTGAAGAGATTGTTTTACTATATTATCTAAAATGTAGGAAAATAAATAATTTACCGAGCCTTGTCGTGGTGGGATTATTTTTAAAGTTCCCTTGCAATATTTATTTTTTTTTGCATTCTCCCCGATCCATCGGTCTCACTCGACATCATACATTTATTATTCCGTGCACACACACAGCCGCTGCATATAGTTTGTACTATAACACGTCTAGAGTCGGTCTGTTGTCTCAAACAGTGACGCTGTGATACATAAAACAACATCACAACACTTTTGGATCAGAGAGAATTGAAAAGACCAGGAAGGGCTCGCTCTGTAATCATAATTGCAATAACTAAATTAGTAAACTGAATAATTTTTCAGTTTTCGTGGGGTTGAAGCTATAAATAAATGATCAGCAGCAGCAGAATATGTGAGACTGTGTGAGGAGAGGGTGTGCGCTTGATTGTGTATTTTTAAATGAGGTTATAAAAAAAAAAGAAGAAGAAGAAGAAAAGAAAGAAAGAAAAGTTTCCTGAAGTTGATGCAGCAATTCCAGGATGTCATTAACTCTAGCATGTCGTGTCTTTTTACGCCACGGCACAGATGGAAATTTCTCCAGATGGCATTTCCATGAAGTTGCGAGGAAGTGAGTACTCCACCCCATCTCAGAGCACAACTCAGAGGTTTTGCCTGTTGAGTCAGTTTTGCGAGTGTCTCCGGTTTTGATTAAGAAAGGGACTGTTTTTTTTTTTTTTTTTAAACATTCTGGGGAAAAAAGGCACTGGAGTTAATCGTAGAGTCGGTTCACATTTATGGAGTTTTAGCCTCGGATCCTGTGAGATTTAACTTAGAAGCTGCGAGCTGGATGTCAGGAATTGAAAGAAATGGTGAGGATCTACTAAACTGATGCAACTTTCACATCAAGAAATCTCACTAAAGATCCCATTTAGAAAGCAGAAAACTGAATAAAAGCCCGACTACTTGTGTTTAAGCTGTTGTTATAAATACTTCAAAAAAAACAAAACTTGTGCCTTTGATTTGCAAGTTTGAAAATTCAGAATTCAGTCAAGCTGCTCACAACTTATAAATAAAAGCCTATTCTGTAGTGCTACTCGTCCCACTTAGGATCCAGTCATTGTTTTCCAGGAACTCGTTAAGATCGAAGCCGAGATCCTCCGACGGCGGTTGTGAAAGAGATCCGTCGGTGCTGCTGGAGGTAGTTTGAGATATGTTGAGAGGACTGGGGACAGTGAGGAGAGACAGCAGGGACGCAGGAGAGGGTAAAACTGGCTGATTGTAACTGGGCTTCGGGGCAAAAGGAAGGGCCGGAGACGGCTGCAAGCTGGCCTGAGGTGAAGCCAAGAGAGACTTAGGAGGACTCAACCTGCTCGGATTGAACGGGTATGGATGAAGTTGGGGCGAGTTCATGGCGCAGTTTGTGTTTTCTGCCTCGACACGGGTGTAAGGAGGCGGAGGAAAAGGAGTCTGTTTCATTAAAAATGCGTCCACTGAGAAAGGAGCTGGTGAGGTTTTGTGGACTTGGGCGGGAGGGTTTGAAAGAAGGCTGCTGCTCGTCGGCCTCGAGGTCATTTGAGCGGCGTCGCTAAACAATGAGTGAGGAGCCGAATGTGTCGGGAAGGAGGGTGAGTAAGTAACAGTCACTGGGCTGCTGCCGGAGGAGGAGGAAGAGGAAGAGGAGGAGGTGAAGAGTTCAACTGACGAGGCTAATGTTGTAGTCGGTGGGAGGTTTTGAAGACTGGAGGTTAAAGAGGTAGAGAGTGAAGGAGAAGTAGCCAAAGTGGGGTTTGAAACCTGGGGAGGGACTTTTGGAGGGCGGCGAGAGTCGGCGGAGGAGGCGCCGAGGCGGCAGTGAGGTTCGTGACGCTCCAGAGAGGTCTGGTAGAGGTGGAGCTCTTTTCTCAAAGCGGCGATCTCCTTTTTAAAAGCGGCGTTGGATCGCTCCAGCTCCTGGAGTTCCTGAGGAGACGGAGGCAAAAAGAAAAGTCAGACACAGGAGAGGAGAAAACAGGGCCACACATGACAAAGAGTTCATATCAAGTCGAGTCAGGTTTATCTTTATTATCCCCGAGAGAGGTCCCCATCAGCCGTAAAAACTGATTAAACACATTCGTCAAAAGACAAACAGTGAAGAGGAACACTTCCCGCCCACAGAACAACTCCTGAACTGCGCTGTAATAAAAGCAAAACTAATGACACGCTTCTCCTCTTCACAAGTGCTGTAATAGAAACCACAAAGGGCCGTGGAGCGGATGATACCAGTCCGGCGCCAGAACCGCCACGAAGGAGAAGTGAAATGTTGCCATTAAAAGCGACAGCACTGCAAGTTCAGCGTGAAACGAGTGGGTGGGTGGGTGGCGAGGAGAGGACACAGGGAGGGCGGGGGAAAAAAAGGTGATTCCCTGCTGATCGGTGCAGAATAGATGAGATTAATTAAGCTAAAAGGGGTCCGTAAACATTTCAAAATAAAGCTGCGCCTATTTAGCAAGGCGAGGCTCGTTCTAAACGTGCGCCTCGTTAAGTTTGGGTGCAGTAATGCTTCGCAACAGGCGGAACAACTGGGCGTGCAGGCTTGAATAACGCACAACGAGTTTAGGAGTCACAGTGAAAGCAGCAGGGCGTCACGCCGCTGACACACCTTGTTCTTTTTTATTTCACTGACTCTTCTTCAAACACAACCTGAAGAGAGAGAAGGAGAAGTGAAAGAAACAAGAAAGAGAAAGCGAAAGTCTGGACTCACACACGCTGCTTCTCTGAACAGACCTTTGCACAGCCAGTTATAACAAATAGGAAATGACTGTAATTAAAAGAGAAACGAGCGCTCAGGTGCAGCACAGTGAGACGAAGGGTTTTTATTTCATGTTGTCAGAATGAGGCCAACACAGGATCGTAGCCAAAGCACGAGGGCAGTGACACATCTATGATAATTTAAGTTTTGCTACATTCACTGGAGAGGAAATCAGATTATTGATATAAATGGGGAACAAATGTAGTTTTACCTGTAAGACTATTGAATGTAACAAGCTGTTTGTTAAACAAGAAGCCACCACTCGCAGCTCATCTTAAAGTCTGGAAACTGAAAAAAGGTAGTAAAAACTGAAATCAAACTGGAATTTGCGAGAACAGGGAATCCTCCACAAGTGTAGAAATAACAGATTGTCCAGCTCTTTTTTTTGATTTTCTAAACGTCATCTTCACTTCCACACTCAGAGCCAGATCCTCTACTTTTTGGTAATTTAGATGAAGCGACATTTTAAATGAGTTTCAAGACCAAAGGCTGTGAAGCGGTGCAAAGTCCCACAGGACAAAAATGCAACACACTAAAATTTACAGGCATTATCTGTCGCAAATTATCGTCTGAAGAACTGCGTGTTTTCGGTTTTTAATTGACTTAAGCGATCAGATAACTGCTCTCCTTAAAATATTACTGCATTTAAGCAGCAAAACTAAAAAAGAAACTCCCTCGAAAATTCCCAGTAATAACCCCCTTGATGCACAGAAAGAAAGAATAACACGATGATTCTCCAGAGGAAACTACACTTGGACCTTTTGACCGGATTCATCCTGCTCCCTGTGAACAACGGTCAGCTATTTTCATTCTGAAAAGAACTGAGGTGAATAAGGCTGGATGAGATCCCAATGACACGATAATTAATGAAGATACTGCCGCTGTTTTACCTTTTCTACTTCAGTAACACTGAAGATTCTATCCTGAAGCCTGCTTAATTCACCTTTAACAGCAAAGTTGCTCATTTTTCTGCATAAAGAAGTGAAAATAAATCATTTATTGTTTTTTTTTTAATAAGGGGAGGCTACACTGTGTGAGAATATACATGCATGTGGTATATATTAGTGCATATTGTTGCTGTCAGTAGGGCCACACTGTTAAGTTTCCATGTCCACGAGTGTCTCTGTGCCAATATGTGTGTGTGTCGCAACCTGTGGAATTCAGCCCTGAAGGGCAAAAAAAATAGAACAGGCAAGTGGGTACAGATGGAAAAACAGAGGCAGGAGTGTGTGTGTGTCTGTGTATATGAGTGTGTGTGTGTGTGTGTGTATATGGGTGTGTGTGTAGCTGAAAGAAGAGGGAGGGCCAGGAAGGAGGGCAACCCAGAGGGAGTGAAAGTCCTTCTTCTAAAGCAGAGTATTTACAAGAAATGGCTGTGAGTACATTGCCAGATTACACAACACACACACACACACACAACACACAACACACACAGCACACACACGGTTAGAGGGTGATCGTAAAAGAAAGTAGGAAGGCAAAGTGCAACAAAATAAGATAAGGAACGACAGGTTTTAACCTCATGAAGCTCGTCAGCTCTCTCGGTTTGTTTTTTGCGGCTCTTTCTCGCCGCATCTCGGTTCTTCTCTCGTCTTTTCGTCCCTCTGCCTCCCACATGCTGCCCCTCCGCCTCTCGCTCCTCCTGCAACAGGACACGAATGCACAGTTGGCCACGATCACCTGGGGTCGGTTACAGCGCGCGCATGTTGTTGATGTTGCCCTGCGTGTTCTAGGTTTTACAGTTCACAAGGTCAGGGGATGACTCTATCACATGAGAGGACATGTGGTTTCCAAGAGGCAGCAGGTGAATGAAAATATAAACAGACCTGGAGATGGATTGAGAGGAACTGACAGTGATGGAGCGCGTGATGGGAAGTTAAGACAGAGCTAATGAGCAGTAAATGGGGTTCAGACATGGAAGTGAGCTTTTCTGCACAGTTCCCCCCTTGAAAAAAAGCAACATCAAGCTGTCTTGATAGTAAAAAAAAAAGTCTCCCATTGCTCTCATTCCTGAATAAAATCACTAGAAATAAACCATTTTTTGAAAATACACAACATATGGAAACGTTTATACCCGATGAGTGGTGACGTGTGATGAAAACAGGATTGCATTACATTCATTTGTGCAGAAAAAGATGTAATCAACGTCTGAGCTAAACTTTTCTCTGCAGTACAACCAGGGGAAAAAAACTAACAGGAAAAATACAAGAAAAATCATTAAGAACCCAGACTGAGGCTGAATATAAACAACTTCTATTCTTCTATTTAAGGTATTTATTGGGGTGACAAAATATGTATAATATGCATTTCAACTGGAAGCCTGACAGGACACCAAAGCTGACTGAGCAAAAATCAATCAAAATTTAAAAACAAAATCCCTAATAGTCTAATATGGAGCCTTTAAGTGCATTTAAGTTGCATAATTGTGATTGATTCTGATCATATTAGTAGGATATTAGCTTTAATTTCATGAGGCATTTGAATAAACAAGTTGCAAACTGCTTTGAAAAAGACCAAAAACAAGAAATGCATCAATTAAAACTGGATACAAATGTATTTACAGCCTTAATATTAATATTATTTATTGGTTAATTAACACATTGGCGGGATTTCCTGATATCACAGCAACCTTGTAGCTTCTGCATAAAGCTAATATGATGAGAAGACTTTTGATTGATTAATTGATTTATTGACTCACCGATCCGGCGGTGTTGCTGTGGCACTCCTCGGCTGACAGGGATCCGGGGCTGTTGAGATCACAGCCGGTGTCCATGAATAACGGGGACATCTCCGGTTCTCAGCTTCTCCACCGGCGGGACGAACCTCCTGCCCGGATCATCGGTGCAGCCCGCAGGTCAAATCGCAGCCATTCAAACGGTGCAACTGCGCGCAAATCGCCTGCAGCTCGGATTAAAGTGGATGAAAGTCTAAAAAAAGATAAATAAAAAAATGTGTCTTGATGGGAGCGAAAATGTGCTGGTTGCTTGGTGACTCGTCAGTGCTGTGGATGCAGCTTGTCTGGTGGCTCTTAAACGAGGACAGGAGGTTTGGCACCGGTCAACCAATGATGCAACAGCCTTCCTTTCAGTTTCTCTTTATTTTAAACGGCGGTGCTGAGAAGCAGCGACCGCCAAGCCGCCTTCACACGCAGTACGTTAGTTTCACTCGGTAGTTATCCAATGAAAACAGCCCGCTTCTCTTGATGCTTTTTACACTTATTTTGCAAACTCTACTTTCCCATAACGCCACACAAGTATTCCACACGCTTCTAATCGCGTCAGCCCTGATTTATAAAGTGAAAGTGAATTACAGTGCTAATCCCCACGCACTTTTTTCGGTTGCACCTGAACACATCCTGCCGACTGCGGCCCCGTCGGGGGACAGTTCCGATGACCATATTAGGAAAGAAATGACTTAATACACGTGCAGGGAATTTCTCAAGCGCTTTCTGCCTGGAAATGAGTGACTTAGACCCTCAAACATCAGCCAGCAGCTTCTGGCACTGAGTTCTCAGCAGCAAATGATGAAACTTCAGGAACAAAGAGTTCCCTTCATGGCTCCATGGCTTCCCAGTGAAGCAGAAAACCGACCTTGTCATGTTTTTCCAAGAGATCCAGACTACGTGGTTGCTGAGGTTCGTCAGCATATGTGCTGGAAAAAAACTTGGTTTAAACGATGGCAACGAAGAACACTGTAATGTTCAAAAGATGTTTTAAAACTGGGAAAATAAGGGAAAATACCTATGAATCACACACTAAAGCGATTAGTGTACTTGGTTTTTGTGTTACTTTCAGTTTTGGTTGATTTTACTTTTTCTTTTCTTTTTTTTTTTTTTTTACAGTTAACATGTAAATTAATGCTTTTTTGGCAATTCTACAAGACTTTATCTATAATTCAACAAAACAGGGAAAATCTGCAAAATTACAGTCAAAAAAATTTGCATTTTCCATTTATATGCATATTTTTTCTTTCAAATAACAGCAACTATCTGTAAAATAATAATTGTTTAAATTATTTAAATACTGTAAAAAAAAATCATTATTATACTGTAAATTTACAAACACTGTAAAATAATGAATTTCTAAAGATTTTCCAAACTTTTTCTTGTGATTGCACAAAAGTTAATCTGTTAAAAAAATATTTAACTACGGTTAAAATAGTGTGATTTTCTATTCAAATCATGTACAATTAAATAAAGAAATAAATTACAATTAATACAAATACAAATTTTGATGTGAATATTGTTTCCCCCTGTGTTTTTAAAAAAAATAATAAAAAATGTACAGTTAAGATCTGTGAAAAATTACATCAGAGACTGTCACTTGAAAACTTAACATTTACTAATTATTATGCATATTGTGTATAATAATAATAATGTGCACTTTTCTATAATACACTTTGCAGCTTTTTTTGACTGTACAACTCCATTACTACCCAACAGCTTATTTTTCATCTTTTGATTCTCGTGTCACTTTGTTTTCAGTAATTTCAGGTGTACTACAATGTACTAATATGATCAGGTTGTGTGGCTAATAAAACAACATGTCATCCAGAGCTATATAAGAAACTCAGATTTAACAGTTACACAGTTAAAAAAAAAAAAAACACTTTCACGATTTCAGTCTTATCTAAACATTGAATTTGATAGCCATAAAAGATTTAATCATGAAATTATGTTGTGTATTTCTGACTTTGACCATCCTCTCATTTTAGGAAGAGCAATATTTAGACAGAACACATGAGGAAATCTGTTTGTCTCTCTCTCTCTCTGTCTATTTGTACTCCACTGGGTCTCAAAGGTAAATATTGTACCTTTTTTTCTCTGTTACATTGCCTAACAACTTTAGTTACTCTTCAGATTACAATCTTTCATACCCTTTCTTTCCAGATTTGGTGATTTCTTTTGCTGAGTGGTTGTGATAAACTGAAAGACGAGGAGCTTCTTCTACACATCAAGATATAAAAACGATTGTAAATAACACACATACAAACATTATGCTGATCGAATAGAATATGAGGCATTGCGGTACATGAAACAACCCAACCGTATATAAAGTAATTAGCAAGTTAAGCAAAAGTAAAGTGCAACATATGCAGCAGTAATAATAATCGAAACACATCATATACAAAAGCAAAACACTGACAAAAAAAACAGCACAATGAGCACTTTTTCATGCTTTCACTGCATTTTGCTGCAAATAGTCACATACTTTTACTTGAGTAAAGTTTTAAATGCAGGACTTCTACCTGTCGTGGACTATTTTTGCAGTGTGTGTTAATACTTTAACTTAATTAAGGGATCTAATGTTTCCTTCATCACTGCTGGCTACACCCTAAATCACTACATTATTTGACTGAATTAACTAAATATGAGTGGATTTTTCTGGCCTGAATGTATAACATATAAATTGTATTGACTGTACTATAACATCATTGGTGCATTTATGTGTATTTTTATTTTATTTTTTTTCAAACTATGTCAGTCTGTGCACTGTATACTGAGAAATAAGGTATGACAAGCAAACATGTAATTCTCACAAAAGACACTCAGGGGAGCTGCGCTGTGCCCGCAGCATGACCACACCTTTAACCCTTCCTGACCAATCAGCGAGCTTCAAAATTCTGCAGCAACCAATCAATGCGCTCTTGCAACTAAACTAACCAATCAGTGGCTGCGTGGGGCGGGATAAGCACTGCACCTTCTTCCTGGATCGCAATGCTGCTTCCAAAAGCTACATATCTTCTAATTTAAAGGCTAAAAAAAACTGTAAAATATATATTTTTCAGAATAGCGGTTTAGAGGGAAAGCGCCGCGATGGGATTGCTGACAATTTTGAAGAAGATGAAACAGAAGGAGCGGGAGATGAGGCTGCTGATGCTGTATCCTTTCTGTGAACGTTGCTAGCTTAGCTGGAACAAAGTAGCATTTTTATTTAGTGGCATCATTATAACTTCACCTGAACCGCAAGCAGCGAATTATATCCCCGTGTAGTTGGGTAAAAATACAGGAAAACGACTGTGTGCTTGTAAGCCTTGTTTTCTGCTGCCTCATGATGTTAGCATGTTTAGCTAGCACTCACAGCTAACTCGGAGCCGGTGAATGAGGAGTTACCTGTCAGGTGTTTTTTCTTTGACCTGAGTCCTGCAGAGGTTTGGACAACGCGGGGAAAACGACCATCCTGAAGAAGTTTAACGGAGAAGACGTGAGCACCATTTCTCCCACGCTGGGCTTCAACATCAAAACTCTGGAGCACCGAGGGTAGCGTTTAGCTCTGACCTGCATTAGCACCGTCGAAGAAGAACTTCTTCTTCTTCTACGCAAAGACAGACAGTTCCATCCCAGTAGTCTCATGTTACTGAACCAAATAAAGAGAAACATATTTAGTTATAAGGATTTTTTTTTTTAACAGATCACTCACAACAACTTTTTCATCCTGAATTTAGTACATGGAAAACAAAATAGGGGAACATCGCTGGTCGAAGCCATGTTAAATGATGTATTTTAGGATTTTGCACTGCAAGCACTTGAATTCTCAGAAATAACTCGTGCATTACCGAGAAAAGGTAGGGCTAATTTCTTGCCTAAGATTTCTGTGAAGAGTACAAAATGTTCTTCAAAACTGCAATTGCAAAACCCTGCAATCATATTTTCTAAAATTAAACACACAGTAGTCATGCAGCTATAAAGTAAGAAGTAATGAATCATTTGGAGCTCACCCCACAAGCCTTACAATATATATTTAGCTTGCACTTGAGGTCATAGGTGGTGTACTGTTATTAATTCTTGATAATCTTTATTTGTTTATGCACATCATAACTGGACATTGATTTATAGTGGCTTTCTATTCAGATAGGTTTCTTGTAGCTGGAAATGATGTAAACAAATGACAAAAGGTGGTAAGACAATAAGAACGACAAAAAACAACAACACAGAAGTAGTTAATACTCATTATTACCGTGTCTAACAGTGTTTTACTATCTTTTTCACTTGTTTTACTATCTTTTTCACTTGTTTTTGTCATTTTCAGACAGAAGAAACCTGTTGGTTCAATAGAAGTTGACTATAAATCAAAATTTTGCATGGATTTGAATGATTTAAGGCTTAATTGCAAAATAATTGTGAAATCAAAGTGGCCAAGAAAAAAATCTGGTGAACTATCAGTTGGCTTTGCACATTAAATTGAATTCCTCGTGTCCTTTTCTTTGGTAGACTTGATTATCGGGCTGTACGTTTCCATTTTTCTTCACACTCCTCGTGTTTTCTCTGTTGCATTGCAGGTTTAAACTGAATATTTGGGATGTAGGTGGTCAGAAGTCCCTTCGTTCCTACTGGAGGAACTACTTTGAGAGCACAGACGGGCTGGTTTGGGTGGTGGACAGCGCGGACAGACTCAGGCTGGAGGACTGCAGGCAGGAGCTCAGTGCACTGCTGCTGGAGGAGGTATACAAAAACATCACACTCACAGGAAGCACAAAGGGTTTAGTGGGGACCGTTTGAAGGACATGAGTGTAGTATTTGTGATTTGGCTGTCGAAGACCAGGCTGTTGTTTTTTTTTTTTTTTGTTTGTTTTTTTTTAAGTCAAATCAGTGCAGCAGCTTTTCTGGCTGAGAGCTGGTGGTTCTTTGGCTGAAGAAGTGGTTTGAGATTAGCCTCGGAAATGAGTATGACCTCATGCTTTGTTCTTGATCCCCTGCAGAGGTTAGCCGGTGCAACGCTGCTGGTTTTTGCCAACAAACAAGACTTGCCAGGAGCTCTGTCGAAAGAGGCAATAAGAGAGGTGAGCTGTGCCTTCACATTACAACAATTCTTTCCTGTGTTTCAGTAGTGCAGCTTTATTATATCACGTCCTCCTGTGTGTTTTCCTGCAGGCGTTAGCGCTGGATGAGATCAAAAGTCATCACTGGTGCATCATCGGTTGCAGCGCAGTCACAGGAGAGAACCTGTTATCCGGAGTGGACTGGCTGCTGGACGACATCGCTGCAAGGATCTTTACCACAGACTGAGTTGCTGTTGAACAAATCAAACAAAATGCAGCCCCTCATGTTTGTTGAGCCCTGAATGTCTCCAGGCTCGTGATCAGACTGTGGAGATCATCAAAACTGAGCTCAACATTTTCCTTTTTTTTTGCAGTTTGTGTATTGACTGATGCTTTTATACTTTATGGTATATCAGATTGTCAACTGATTTGTGCCTCACTGATATCTGTAGTTTTTCTAATAAATACATTTAGTTGTGTCACTGTTACCCAGGACTTTTGCACATTTATTAAGTAGAACTATGACTAAACATGAAACTCTGCACTGCTTACTTGTGAAATAGTAATATTTCTGCAGTCAAGGCAATATCCTGCAGTGGATTCAATTTCAGTTCTGTAATTTAGCCACAACTCAAGATTTCATTTATATTTATCTTAGTGCTCATATCAAGGTAAGAAATCAGCAATTCCTCGATGACTTCAGTCTGAAGGTCAGGATGCTATGAAACGAAAACCTGCCTGCACAACAGAACACAGGCTGGTTGAGCTACTACATGTATCAGCAATGAGCTACTCCATTATGGACCTTATAGGCTGATCATTAATGCTGGGTAATCAAAGCCTCATTTTTAATCAGATCACATGCAGAAAACAGGATTCAGCTTTGACAGTGCGTTTCTTTGTGCAACAACCTGGTTATCATCTGGATTCAAGTGTTGCTCTCAAAAAGCGTCGCTGGAAAACGCAGCACTTTTAGAGTCGATGACTAATCAAGAAAACTGCCAGTGCTGACAGCGCTGCATGATTTATCTCAAACAGCACTTGTACAGCTGACAGTTGGACTTTGCGATTTTCTCCTGTAACTTCCACTTCCACAATCTGAGTTATGGGACAAAGTATTGTGTGGGAAAAACACACAAAAAAAAAGGAACAAGGAGACCATACATATGATAGGCCAACAGTTTTATTTTGAATTCCCACTTCATTGGCAGCATGGCTGATGGATCTTCATGACGGCACAGAAGTTCTCTCCAGGCTGCAAAGAGAAGCGACATCTTAGAAACAGATTGCAAGAAATGTTTACCTTTAATATTAGCATGTCATGTTTTAGCTTCAATCAGAGGGTAGACCAATCAGTCATGAATCTTCAGACTGGGGCGGTAACAACAGCTCATCACATTTTTAAACTGGATTTTCTGAAACTAAGTCTAGTTCAAGCTGCTGCGTTCCTCAGATACTCACCGAAACATGGACCGACGGAGCACGAGATCAGTGAGATGACTTCAAGCTGCAAGGAAAAAAAGAAACGTTGACAAGTTAGGAGTTGTGTGACATTTACACTGTAGCACAGGGTGGTTAGCATCCATCCATTTCAAAGACCACTGATGCAATGTTTCTCTCTAGTTTCCCATTTTTATTGCTCAACTGACATTTTCATCTCTAAGTAGCTAACATGAGCTATAGTTAATTTACAGTAAAAAAAAAATATTCTAAGTACCTTCAGTCTGTCTTTAAGAGTGCAGTGACGACTCGGCACCTTGATTAAAAGTATATAAACACACGCTTGTTTCAGTAGAACGTTCTGGTCATGTGTTGGAAAAAGGCTGTACAAATTTCAAGCTGTGTAAATGAAATTTTCTGCTTCTAGGATGTGATCAGGAGGAATTTTCAGTCAGACACTCCACTCAGCCTCCATCAGAACTCCAGCAGATCACCTTACACCTGATAAGACTCAGGGTTCTCAGTGTCGTACCAGGTCACCAGGAGGATGAGCAAAGGAGTAAGGGATAAGAAGAGCGGGGATCCCTTGACTGTTGCCAATGGTGCACATCATATCCACGATCCCAGCAGCAACACTACGCTTGCTCATTTACCTGAAGCACAGTCCAGGCAGCAGTGGGGATGACGTTTGACTCATCGGCACCCAGAAGAGGAAACCTGTAACGGGAGAAAGTTCAGTTTAGTTTGTGAAGCAGTTTGATGACGGAGTGAGTGAATCCCAAGTGGTGGTGATCAGAGGGTACCAATCAGTCATGAATTGTCAGACTGGGGCGGTAACTGAGGCTCATCACTTCTGCTCAACTGACTGGCTAGTGTGAGAGCGCCAACCAGACATTTACCTTAAATCTGGAGAACCTCGTCCTCTTGCTTCAGGACTGTTTCAACCTAGAAAAGAGCAGGGGGGGAAAAAAGGTTAAGATCACATATTTGCTAACTGAAACACAGAATTAATGCTTTGATGGTGACAACCAGCATATTTTCAAATTGCTAAATAACCACCATGCCTCAGTTCTCAGCGTCTTATCAGGCGTTAATATGCAAAGTCTGGCATTTACACGATGCATTCAAGTTATGTTAACATTCGCTATAGTTTGACAGCACCATCCTGAAGGAGGCATACAGAAGTTGTTTCAAGTTCAGGATTGATTTTAACTGAAGTTTGTTCCTAAGCATGACTCAATGGCAGTCAGATGGATCAAATTTAAGAAAAAAAAAAACCCACAATTGCTCATGGATAATTTGTTCTCAGACTTGGCGTATGACTAAAAACCGTCACATCCGTGTTCGTTTCCATTCAGACTGTTGGTAACCCCAACGGGTCATCCCCTTCTTGCCAAGGTCACACCAGTGGGTTCACCTTTTCAGGTCTGGCATGAACACGAGGCGTAAGACGTGTGCAGGAGTCATCATGAAGGAAACTGGATGTGACTGATGTCTGCAGTGTTTTAACTTCCAATTCTTTCATCGTGGCTACAAGCCTGGTGATTTAGAGCTTCACATTTTCCCGTTTTAACAACAGTGTACTGATGTGAATGCTCTCAAGGGCTCACTCACCTGATCAAGCATCAGTTGGTGATAAGACAGCAGCTTCTTCAATGTCCAAAACCAGCTACCTGTAAGAGACGACACTGTCAGGTCCAAGCTCAAAACATGTAATTCACAAATTATTAACTGGCCATCGCTGATGTCAGATATTTTATTTCTCAACAGGAGTTCAGACGAACGAGATTCCAGATGTATCTCATCATTTTCAGCAGATCTAAGACTAAAGAGTTGTGGTTGTTTTCATAACAGTGATCTGACATCTTACCTTGAACCAGAACGCCTCCATCATGATGCTGAAGCAGTCAAAGAATGACCTGGGGGGGAAAAAAATAAATAAAAGGTTTATTATATTATTCAAGAGAAACTCTTTTTAAATGTTCCTATTGAACATTCAAACTAAGACAGATTAGAGCTGCAACAACAAATTGATTAAAAGAAAACAGATCTCAGTAATTAAATTAAAAAGTCAAAACTCTGATCAGAGCTTTTTAAATGTTAATATTTTCTACCAGAACTACTGGTGCTGCAGCAGCAAAGTACACCTTTGCAAATAAGTGCAGTTTCTCAGTTGTTCGTGTCGTTTCACATCGGTTCAAAGTGAGCTAAGTATCATCATCACTGAAACTGCATTATAGGACATCTCTTAAAATAAGCACAGGAGCGACAAAACAAATCTTACCATGAGACGTTTAGGTTCATTCCCATCAGACAGTCTGTCAGCAGGCACTGTGGGAGGAAATGACACTTGAATAAAAAGCAACAACTCCTTCTGGCACCAATAAAAGAACCTGAAAGTTTGATCAGGGCTTTGGTGACAAATTGCCATGTGACATTAGTCGTCCAGCTGTTTGATGGGTATGACCCCATTTCATCCTTTCAAACCAACACCTCGCCTTTCACTTCACAGCGTGCATTTCAAATGTATAGTCTGACAGTTATTGGATCGTCTCCAGCATACAGGAGCTCACATTAACTTTATAACAGCAATTTGTTTTATGGAAGTGAGTGCTACATGAAAGGCATTTCTGATAATTGCTGTAACGATGACATAAAATGAATACTTACACGTCGACGTGGCATCGCCCCCTTCTGACATTTCACATCAAAGTTGAACCTAACAGAGAAACACGCCGGTTAATCACAATGCAGTGGTGTTGAATATTTCATCAGCTCATGTAAGGGGAATCAGATTAAAGGCGACATCACTGTGATCAGGCATATGCTTGTCATTTATGATAATCATCATGTTTATGCCCCACTTCTGAACAAACTCTTGGAGTAAGCAGCATTTTACTCACCTCAGTGCATTTTAAAGCAGCTTCAAGGTGTCCTGAGCAGACTGTAAAGGCCTACAAGAGAGAAATCTGGTTAGTTATAAATAATAAAACTAATCAGCTTTGGCATCTCTGAAGGGGCTCATCAGAATTAACGGATCATCACAAAAGTCAGGCATATGCTTGTCTTTTATTAAACTCATCAGTTGGAGCCTTTGTGGAGTCATACTTTAACTTTAGAGATGCTCACCTGCAGGAGTCACTCATTCTTGTTCTTCATCTTCAAAGAACTTTCAGCATCTGCTAAAGGAAGAATAAAATGAATGTGGGAAATTTTTACCAAAAGCTACCTTTCTTACAGTTTTTTGGATGTCAGTTGGAGCTCATATGCTACTCAGAATCTGGTAAAGAAGTTTCTTCAAAGGCTGATTCGGTAAGAGAGAGTTCAGAGATTCATCACCGCAGCACTGAGCTCCTCAACAGCCACATCTAGAAAGGCCAACTCGACTTTCATACACTGCAGAATAATCTAAAAACTGAAATACACAAGTCTCACTTAATAGCCACACCTTGCCTGTCCTACATTGCAGCCTTTCTGATTTGCCGACTGCATATTTTTTAAACAATTAAATTATACAGCTCTAGTGTGAAAAGCACGGCCTGTTCAGTTTAGTTGCTGACAAAATCTATTCATTTAGTAGGACTCAAAATGTGCAATTACCTCATGCAGGGAGTCTCCCCACACGCTTCACACCTGAAAAATAAAATAAAGAAAGCCTTTAGTGAGTTTAAAGCACAGTTACAGATGTGCACACTCGTGACAGCTTCATGCTACTCAGAAATAGAGAGATTAAAGTTTCCTCAAGAGATTCATTCAGTGAGAGAGTTCAAGTTGGACATCACTGTAGCATGAGGCTCCATGTTAGCCATGCTGCTAGCCATGCTTTCTCCAATGACATCTTTAAAATGCACGCTAAACTTCAACTATTAATGCAATTGTGATCTAGAGGAAATTACCTTTGCAGGAAGCACGTTGTGAGTCTTTTGCCATCTGGAAAGCAGACAAATACAGATTTGAGTTAGCATGTTGCAGCTAGCTGGCAAACGTCCATACTGGCTACCACGTGACCGCTCTGTGTAACGTCTCGAGGACGGTTCGAGTCGGTGAAAGTCACTATTATAGTGAAAATAGCTTCTCACGTCAGAATAATAAAAGTACAATCACAGTCATTCAGGACAGGTCTGTGAAAATTATCATCACTGTGAGAAGCTGCTAGCTAGCAACCGCGCCTTCACCAGCAGCGGCTAAATAAATGAGCTTAAAATATAATAATATGACATGCAACAGTTAGTCAACATGTTTTTCTTCTGATAGCAAAACGTAAACAGATAAAATGAGTGGATATTACAGATGGATGGTTGAGGATTGAAGCTCTGCTCGCTGCTGAACCCAAACGGAGAACACAGGCTGCTAGCTAAAATTGCACCTTAGCTTTTAGCCTAAATAAGCTAAAAATGAAGACTGAGCTGCATATTTACTGCAGTTCTGCAACTCTTTAAAGGTTTCCAATGAATAATTAAATTGTAAAACTGAATAAGAGTGAGCAGACGTGAGTGATCTTACCTCGGTTAGAGGAGAGGAGGAAGTGGAAGAAGAAGCCGGTGCGTCTCCTTTTTATGTCCGGCCTGCAGGACTCCTCCCACCGGCTAACTTTCACCGGGAAAATGGCTCCTTACGGACGTTACCACATGCTTTGAATCAAATAAACGCGACAAAGAAATTATATCCAAGTTTAGAGCAAAAACAATAATGATTATGCAAAAGATAAAGTTTGAATAAAGCTTAAATTTTAATTTTACGACGTCAGCTTCGTTTGGAAAGGCCGCCATGTTTTTTCCTTCCACTAGATGGGAGCAGAGACACTGAAACACAGCACAGACTGGACAAGTAAGAGCAGTCATAATCAAAACATAATCTGTTTTGTTGTTAATTAATCACTCATTTTGTTCTTCAAATACCACATATAAATGCAAAATAATAATAATAAATGAAATGCTACGGTCTTAGATTGAATTCCAAATACTTTATACAGCACCAAACACACTCATATGGAGATATCTGGATGATGGATGATTGCTTAATTCTTCGACTTGTGGTTTAATCCCTCCTAAATGCTGCACTGTTGTTAAAGTATTTGTGGTTTTAAAAGTTTATTCTACTCAAATAGTGCTTTCTGCTTGACGACTTGTGGCTTTAAAGGTTTACTTAAGGAAAATACAAAGTTCTGTCCTGCAGTCTAACGTAAATTTGATACTAAGAGTTGCATGTTGGGGCATTATTAGGTAAAATAAGGATGGAATCATAGGGTATAATAATACTATATATGGCCTATGTAGGCAATAAACGTCAAACAGACTGAAAGGTTGAATTGATTTAGTTGAAAGGAGAGGCACATACATGTGGTCATGAGTTTAATATGCCACTAACTTAACTCTCCACTGCACTAGGTGGTGCTGTCTTACCTCTTTTCTTTTTTTTTTTAAATCTAGTTGAGATCTATTGACTACAAATCCCAAAAATAACCTAATTTTACTAATTAAACAAACTGCTCAATGTGCAACTTTTAGCCATAAAATTGGTATTTGGATGGAATAAACCTTTCAAGCCAAACGTTGTCCGATACAAAGTGCTGTTTGAGTGTAACAACCCTTTAAAGCCATGAGACACAGCCTGAGGTAATCACCCAGTTCACTAGGTGGTGCTCTCATGAAAAACAAGGATCCTCAAACTGCAGCCTCCTCTACTGCAGAAACATAATAGCGCCTTAAAAAGCAATTTGCAGGATGATTTTTTGGCTAAATTTGTATTTAAGCTTTCTAGGAAATTAACATATGAACATTGGCCAATACGAGTCTTGTTATATCCAGATGCATGACAGAAAAACGTTAGAAACTAAGTCCACATGTACACATAGCCGGGTATTCACAAAAACAGATCTACGTTTTCAGAAAAAACATTGTTCACACCAGATTGTTTTCAATAGAATCTATGAGCATGCCAAACCTATAGGGGACAGTGTAATTGGCCATGCTAGCCAATCAGAATCCTGGAAAAAACGCAACATCAAAAACTTCTTGTCACTTCAACGATAATGGCGCGAGGGTCGTCTGAACCGATAGAGAAGTAGAGCTACTCCTAAATGTGGTGTTAGAGGACAAAACAAGTCAAATTCTTGAATATATTGACTGGAAAACATGTCAGTCCAAATATATGGACGTAGTCAAACTGTAAACATGGGTCGTTCACATATGACGCTGATGAAACCGAGATTTCAAGCTCCATCTCCTCCTGCCTACATGCAAACGTTTTTCCAAATCTCCACTTTGGCCGGAGTTTTCAGATATGATCGTTTTTGGTGACTTGTAGCTTCATTTATGTGTAAACCAAAGGCCCAAACACATTGAAATATTCCCGTTATTGCTATGTGTAAACGGGGCCTGACACTTGCCCTGCTCTACTTTCTTCTAATCGCTGTTTGTTTGTGGTTTCTTTGACACCTTGCAGGCTCTTGATTATAAAATGTTCCATCATGTTTGTTTGCATTTGTCTCTTCAGTATCAGAACTACAGTTTGTACATTTCTTACTGTTAACATTGAGATTGCTCGGCCACTTTCCCTTTTATGAGGTCAAGGCCACCTTGTGTTCTTTGTAAAACTGTCAACAGTTCTGAATCCTATTCTGCTGCATATATACAGACATTTTCAGAGTTTCTGCTTCATTTTCCACACATTACTTCATCGGAGTCGCCAACCTGCAAGTTGCTCTTTAAATGATTTTGTTTGTATGAACGTGCAAGGTTGTGCATTTTATTTGGTACTACTTGTCTGGTGGCACGATAAAACTGTTTATTAGTCTGCAAGAAGAGCTGAAGTTCATCAGGGGTGAAAACAGAATGTGAAGTAAATTTTTATGGTTGGAATTACAACTAAACTGAACTTTGGACTATTATGATGTGGTTTGTAATACGTGTGTAGTCTCCCGTCACCGCCACTATCCCGACTACAATCAGAAGTATAACAGCAATAATGTGTTACGTATGACGTGGTATGATTACTGTGATATCCCCGAGTGAACATCCATAAATACACCAAACCGATAAAGCCTGTTATGGCATATCAGGTGAGACATTTTGTTGAGTCCACAGATCAGATTATACTTGTGTTAAATCATAGTTGGCACTTGGACAAACTATTGGCTTTCTTTTTCAAAGTGCCAGTTGTATATTTTATAGTTCAGCAAGTTAAATCTTCATCTCAATTTAAGAATTGTAATTACTTTTAGTGTCAGTTGCTATGGCACCAGATGATGGGATGTTGTGTTTTACGGCTGATTCATTTCATTCACATGTTTCTTCCAACTAATTAAAAAGCAGATTCAGTTAAAGTGACAGTTTTTACAAATATTGACTTCAACCAGTAAAATCCATCCATTATCTATACACCGCTTAATCCTCATGAGGGTCATGGGGGGCTGGAGTCTATCCCAGCTGACTCAGGGTGAAGGCAGGAGACACCCTGGACAGGTCACCAGTCTATCACAGGGCTACACTTAGAGACAGACAACCAAGCACACTCACATTCACACCTATGAACAATTTAGATTCACCAATTAACCTCAACATGTTTTTGGACTGTGGGAGGAAGCCGGAGAACCCGGAGAGAACCCACGCTGCACGGGGAGAACATGCAAACTCCACGCAGAAAAATCCCGGGTGTCCTCACCAGGACGTAAACCGGCGACTGTCTTGCTGTGAGGCAACGGTGCTAACCGCTGAGTCACCTTGCAGCCCCCAACCAGCAAAATATCTATTGTATTTACTCAGACGTTGTTCTTGTGAATGTTCATGACTTTAAAGGCTCTGGTTATGTCAAAAACTGATTTATTTCATTAAAAAGTAGTGCATTTTTCTACTTCTTTGTATTGAATCTATTGTTCAGCAACTCCCAGGTACACATGAGGTAATAAAAAAAGCAAATTCATAGTTGATTATATTAAAAATTGCATCAAGTTTATTGCAAACTTTATTATTTTCATGTCTACAAAGGTAAATAATTAATAGTTCTTAAATACAGTTTGACATTTCGGCTTTGGAAATCTTTATAAAATCACAACACACATAAAAAAAAACATGTAGCTGTAATCAAACAGGAGAAAAATGTACATTAGGTCCTGCTGCTGGATTAAATATTAATTTAGAGGCAAAAAAAAAAATACAAAGAGTTTCGGTTTTTCTTGCACAAACACACACCCACGCATACATTCTTCCGCTCTGTCCCTTCAGGTTTAATAACCTTCACCAGAACAAACAGGGATCTCATGAGGAAGACACTAACAAGCTGTACCGGGTGACAACTCTTGCATTCGTGTGCACACGCAGATGTAACAACAATCTGGTTGAAACTCCAATTTTTCCTTAAATAGCAGAATACAAATATGCATGACGACACGTTGTCTAAATACTGACTGGCTGTGCAGGGTTCTGTGTCCTGCTGTCATTAACCACAACTGATTACTGATTAGCTGCCAGACAGCCACAAATAGCAGCGATAATCAGAAAGAAATGTGAAAATCTCCAGAACTAAAGTCCACTAGTCAGTCATCGCTACCTTCCGCTCCTTTTGGTTACACATCAACACTCGTTTCATATTGTTAACCAGAGGAACCAGAGGCTATTTGCACTACAAGCTCTTAACCGTGGACCAGATTTAAGGAGCTGATTAGTAAAGATGCTCTCACACCTTTGAGTAAAATCTAAAATTAGCAACGCAGAAGAAGAGAACCGGAAGCTGCTGAACTCAGTCCCATAAAGACCAGACTTCCTCGTCTCATAGACGTCACCGTCAAATCAGCAGCGTGTCTCCTGCAGCTCATTAAATAATCCCTGCAGTGTTTGTGCAAACTGATGTGATAAGGCAGTAAACGTAACAACGAGCAATTAAAACTCAGTAGCTAACATTTAATTAGCGTATTCGAGGCCTAAAGTGAGACTCAAACACTGACGTCACACAGGCAGGATTGTCCATCGCTGTTCAAAAAACGCTGCATGACTCTGATTCAATTGTATTAAACATTTTTAAAAAAAAGAGTTTGCTTTTATTGTCCATGTCGTCCTCCGGCTCTACTGAAACTCGGCTAACACCGAGCTGTGCTGGAGCTTCTTCTTCGACGAAGGGGACGACGGCGAGGAGGTGACGGGCGTGAGCGTGACGCTGTAGAGGTTGGTGATGAAGGCCTCCCAGCCGCGGCGAAACGCTCGGTCCAAGGCCTGATGGGAACAAGAGGGTCGCAGTTAGAGCTCATGATCAGACGCAGAAGGGACACAAAGGTACAGATTTAAATGTCTATAATACAGAATCATTGGCTTTGTACAGATATTGGACACATAGATAAGATGGAAGCCGGTGTGTGTGTTGTGTTGACGGCTGCTCAATGAATCTAAGGATGTAGTTATTTTGTAGTTTTGTAGATATTTGGTCATAAATTACAGTTTTGGAAATTTGGATTCAGGGTCCTTTGTCGCTTTTTCTCTAAGAATCGCCTTCCGATAAATTCCTCAAAAGTTCCCCCGGCAGAACTGTGTCGTTATATTTACTCAATTCGGCCACAACAACAAAACTACCAACAGACGAAATGAACAATACAGATCACCTTGTTACAGTGGGTGGGCTTATTTACAGTCAGTTCTTAAAGTTGATGCGTTGGAAGCAGAACAAACGTCACCCGAATCATCTTGGGGGTCCAAGCAAAGCATTTATTGGATGTTCTGGGAAATAAGTTTGATTCATGGAGGCCTCACAGACGTCTATCTGTGCTGTGGTATCAGCAGCACAAAGCGGAACCACTGAAACCCAAGAAGATATTTGTTTATTACCGTGTGCTTCCTTGTAAATGATATTTACCGTTTTGCATGTTCAGATAACTTTGTTTGCTTTAACTGGGCTGGAAATAACTTTTGTCATTTGGAAGAATTGACTATTGTCTGTGTAGGTGGTGCAGAATCACATGGTTGCTTACAGGGAAATTCCCAAGGAAATTAAAGAGTGTTATTTACTTTATCTAAATTCCACCCGGGAAAAAAAAAAAAATTTCAGTCACTGGAAAATGGTCGGGAACTACTGCTCCTGTTGCTATAGTAACGGGTGACTTTATACCAATCAGGAAACACTCAACCGGCTACAGAGTGAGCAGGAGAGTAGTTCTTCATTAGAGCACACAGAGGTTTTTTTTTATGACACTAAGGTTCTGCAGCGTCGTTGGTGCAACCGTCTTCTAATCTCCGACTCTTGCTCCCGAGGACGGAGCCGATTAGCAGCAGAGGAATGTTTTTTATGGTGTGGGTTTAGCAGGCGGGTCAGCGCTGCTTTGCTCCGTTCCACTGATCAAAGGAGCTGATAGGAGGCGCAGGAATGTCACCTCTAAAAGTGTGTCAGAAACTCTTCACCACTCGTGACGGTACGAGCAGTGAGTTCCCACTTGTGCTGCTAAAAAAGACTAAAAGTGAAACCTGCTCCTGCTTCATTTTTCGTGGCATTAAAAGGTGACGTAAAGGAAAATAAACACCCTGTTGCTGAAAGCGCTGGCGACGTGCACCCTGTACCTTGCCCTGGAGGCAATCAGTTATTAAGGTGAAATGATAGTTTCCATGGTGATTAATAACCCAGCCTGCTCTGCGTGGAGGATGTGGAGGGAGAACTTTACCCCTCTGCTCAACAAACTCCCCACATTTGGTTATGTAACCTTCAGCGGCTTAAACTTTAACCACGTGGCCTGATGTGGAATTTATGCACATGTGAGGCGAAGGGCAATAAAAGTTTCTGGAATCAGCACAAGCTCGACCGTTTGCGTTCTCTCCTCACCTTGCGGAAGTTCTTCCTCTTCACCACCTTCATCCCCTCCTCCTGCTCCCTCCTCATCTTCCTCTCCTCCTCTCCCTCCTCTTCTCTCCCTCTCTTCTTGTCTCTGATCAGGACCTGGTCGTCGGCTTCCTCCCGAACCGGGAAGTGAACGAGCGCCGGCTCTTCCTTCTTCATCTTCTCCACCTGTATCTCCAGCTCCACCACGTCCACTGGCCTCTCCGTGCCCAGGCTCGGCCTCTCGTCTCTGGCCTGCTCCTCCTCGGCCTTCCCCTCCTTCTGCTTCCTCCTGGAGCTTCTCCTCCACCTGCTGCTGCGCCGGCTGGGTTTCCTTTGGAGGAGAGTCTCACCGTCGTCTTCCATCATGCCTTCGGTGAAGTGCTCCGCTTCTTCTCTCTCGTCAGCACCAGAATTGTGCTCCACGTTTAGGGATGACCTGCTCTCGACTCTGCTGCCGTCACCCATCACGTTCTCCTCCACTTCTCTTCCATCTGTGGCCATGTCAGGCTCATCGAGGCGACCGTAGAAGCCGTTGGATTTGTCCAGGAACTTGGGGGCTCTGATGGAGCTTCGGGCTGAGCTCTTCCTGGAGTTCTTGCCAATTGCCATCTTCTCTTTGCTCTCTTGTCGCTTCTGTTGCACTTCTTCCTTCTCTTTGGTTACCTCCAAGAGAGAAAAAGAAAGCGAGATTATAGATTAAACCCCTTGTATAACCCTGCCCTCATCTCTAAATTTCCTCCTCTCTCCCACAAAGTCCGACCCACTTCACGGCAACTCCTGAGCCTTTGGTATGTGTCTTCCTGCTTTTTCAGTGTGAATCATCTGAGCTTGTGACAAATCTGCTATGCGAGCATCACAAGATGTGTAAGTAGAAAAATGACTAACTCTCGGTCACAGTGTTTGGGACGCTTAGTTCTGCTTTTCGCTTGACTTTGTGTATGTAAACACGTCTATGTACTGTATGTGTTTGTGACCGAGGCTGGAGGTCAGAGTCGCCGTTATCAGGCCGGCGATAAAAGCTGGATGTCAAAACTAAAAGACACAGTGTTCTTCGGCTGAGGACAAACACAGACGTTGCACACACAGAGTCAGACTTTGACACTCAGTTCACCTGCTGGATGTTGAACCGCTGCCAAAATCGATGACTCCCTATCAGCGCTAATGCCGGCATAACCGCTGGTTCATTCTAAATAACAATAAAAACGACGGGTTCTAAATCCCTCATTTCTAAAAATATGAGATGAGACTAAACTTAAATATTAGTTTGACACCACGGATGATGATGTCACAGCAGGGAGCGAGAAAACACCTGTTGTGACATCACCGATGAAACACACTGGAAGGCTTTACAACAGAAAGCAGCAGTATTTACTGTTTATGATTCATTAATGACTTTTAAACCTTTTCACCTTTAGTTACGTAAGAGGTCGAAACAAACGCTGCTCTGTGGAAAAACACTTCTGAATTTTCCTGCCAGAATCTATATTTTGAACAGAATCATATGAAAAAAACTACACAAAATACGATTATCAATGCATTTATGCTAATTTAGCTTCTGGTCCTCCATTTTATTTTATTTATTAATTTATTTTGCAGATAAAAACTATGGCATCTACTAGAGACGAGCACTTTTTCAAACTAGCGCTGATGCCCCTCCCATGTTTGTATGTTTGTAAGTCTAAAGCTATGACTATTAGCTCAGTAGCTTAGCTTAGCTTACATCTTGCTTTTGTAAACTGTAAAAACAGCAGGTTAAAGTTATTTGAGGATTATGTCATGGACGATTTCTTAAATAAGTCCTGTCAGACCAGGTTAGCTGTTTGTCGCCGTTTTTAGCATTTGCTATGCTAAGCTAGCTGAGCGCTCAATGCAGCTTCATATTTAGCGCGCTTCATTTGAGTGGTTTTAATCGTCTCCCTGGACTCTCTAGCAAGCGAGTATTTCTCGAAATAATTACATTTATTTACAAAAGCGGTAAGTACACCAACCAGATACATTTAGCTTTTTACTTAAATAACACTTGAAAAACAAGTTAGTTCGTTAGCATGCTTGTTGAGAGCTAGCACAAACAAAAACAAAAATACATGAAATAATCAATATTAGGCCTGTTGGTATCGTGTTTCCTCGACACAATTACTGTGGCTAAAAGGATTCCTGATACTGATACTTTGTAATATTAAAAAAAAAAAATCTAGTTTATCTTTAACTTTGTTGGTTGTGTGTTTTGTGTATTTTTAGACAAATTAATTACAGTTAAAACACGAGTGTAGGAAGGAAGAGAGACAGTCTGTGCATTATTACCATAGTATCATTGTAACACTGTTTTAATATCATGGCTATTGTTAATTAAGAACCAATAACTAGCTAGTTGACACTCATACATAAAATAGGAACAACCTGCAGTACTCTTTTAGTTAAAGAGTCTCTTTCCGATTTTTAAACTTGTATTATCAGGGTCATTCACTTGCCAAAAATGAGGAAAAAAAGACACACAAAATAAGCAAAGTTAAGGACTAATTTGAAAAACTTTTTTTTTTTTTTAGTATTGATGGTATTGTTATTCTGAATTCTTTGTTGTTGAAATGTGGCAGCAAATGTAAATATATAAAATAATGACAAAATGAAAGTTAAATTGTGCTTAAACACTATCTGTAAAAGACATTGCTAACAGAAAGCAAAAAAAAGAGGAGTAATCAAGATAATTGCATCTTGTGCTGTAATAAACTGTAATAAACTGTCTGAGAGATGTGTGCAAGCAGGTACGGATATCGCAGGTGGAGGTAAAATCTGATATAATCTGCTGGTGGCTTATATTACAAAGCAAAGACCAACTCACATGTAACTGAACAGAAGGAAAATAATTTTCAAAAAGGCGAACATGACAAGAAAAAAGCAGCCACATTTTATCTTCAAGTCAGCATTGGAAAAGAAAAACTAAATTGTTTAAGGGGCAGGAAGCAAGTTGAGATTAAGAAAATAAGACTGAAAGAATGAAAAAGAAATTACATGAAAGTCCTGATACTTCTATTTAAGTACAGCAACTAGTAAAATGCATAAATTTCAGATTAAAACAAGAGTCTTACCAGATGTCTTGCTGTTGTCTCCTTCCTCTTTGTGTTCGGTCACCGCTGAGCAAAACCTCTTGCAAGTGTGACTGAGAGCTGAGTGAATGACTGAGAGCTGCTGGGAGCTCAGCATACTCCCCGAGCAACACAACGTCACACGCTAACCCTGCCCAGACCCGCACACGTGTCGTCACCGGAGCACAAACGCACACATGCAACAGCGCCACACACACCTGCAGCAGAGCACTCTCACTATCAAGGACTCTTTGTCTCTTTTCCTACCTACAAACACACACCTCCTCTTTACATATTTAAACACACACTGAAGCCTTACATTGAAATCTGTAACGCAAACACACGATGAACATGCCTGCACACATGTGCACACATCCTAGTCGGTTGTCAATCATTAACCGTGAACCTCCTTAGCTGTCATTAATAAACCTGCAGGGTTCAACTTTGACCTAAAAAGCTGATCGTTCGATTGCCTTCGACACACAAACTGTCTTGAACAATGTTTGTAACACTTGGGAATGATGGGATTTCAGAAAAGTATTCAAAACAATGTGATATTAAAGGAGCTGCTTAAAGTGTGAGGTTATATATTTACAAGTAGTAGTTTTCCACCTATAGCTCTGATAGTAACACTAGTTTCTCCTAATTAAATTCAGGTTCCTGGCATTACATGCTGGCTCACTATCACAACTTACTGGGACACAAAAAGTCCTGATTTTGATCCTGGAAAATAACAAAAAGCTGATAAGAATACAACAGGCCAAGTTCTTTTTTTTTTAACAACATAGAGACAATATAAAGAAGCAAACTACTTGTTTGAGTGGCAAGTAGTTTAGATGTTAGCCTACATACATCGACTACAAGGTACCTACTTAATGTCACACAAAATGACACTGAACAAAACACATCGGTTGCATCCGTTTACTGCTTTTCAGTTGAATATATATAAAAAATATATATATATGGTACTAATATTGGTCAATATACACATGTTTTGACTGGTAGCTTGCTGTTGATATACTGAAATTGCACATACTAGATTGGCTGAAAAGTAACCAGAAAATGCAAAAAAAAAAAAAGTGCGACCATTCTATAGTTTGTTTTTGATATAATTACCAACTGCATTCTTTAAACCATCTCAATGTCCAGGTTCATATCCAGGAAACTATTCTCAAGTGGTTTGTCTCCTACTTAGCAGAAAGGTCCCCCTTTACTGTCAGAATCACATGTGGAGTACCTCAAGGTTCCATGTTGGGGCCACTGACACGTCACTTGATTTTTACATTTCAAAGTGTATATGCCCTCGAACAAATTCAAATTGAAGTAATCCATAATAAAATGAAGGTTATTTTTCACTTAAAAACATAAATATTCAGTCATATATTAATCCAAAGGGCCTTTTCACATTAATAATTTTGTAAACAGTGCATTGAAAGCACATTTTAAAAAAAAACTAAAAATACCTCAACGTGCTAAAGTTGCACCACCCAAAAAAAAAAATCCTCTGACAATCCTTTAAGTCATAGTTTTCAGAGTAATTTTAATCTTGTCTCAACAGTGAAATTGAACACATTTATAAGATAAAACATTTTGGTTTGAAGTTCAAAATTGCTGCCTCTGAAGTCAGGTAATTGGTGGTTTTCATGCCTGTTCATATCCACTCATGTGTCTAACAGACTGAACTAACAAACAGGTAAGTGCGTGAAAGTATGCATGTGTATACCCGTTAAATGATTTCGCTCGGCCACTGAATGTTGTCTTATTGTTTGGACGGTAAACACTTATTCTGGGTGGGACAGGGAGTGGAAGCTCTTAAGCTCTTTGTATGACTGTTGGGTAATTATGTTTTTCCTCGGGTCAGGATATACAGTAGTCGCACACCTTCTTGGACATGAATGCACATGTATTTGTTGTCCAACTGGGATGACACACGGAGATCAGGAAACCACAAACAAACATACAGATGAAGTAGAGCGTGATGTATTCTTCACGACTGAGAGCGTGACAGTGTAGCTGAAAGTTGTTGAAAAGTTGCAGACAATAATAAAACTACACTCAAGAGTCACATGTAGTCTGGTCTACAGGTGTGTGTGTGTGTTCTGATGCACTTGTACATGTGTCCGGGTGAATCATCGGGGATCAAAGATGGCGTGCAAGTAGATCTATGACTTCAGCTCCTCTTACTCACCTCCATCTCAAAGACTCACACCTCCGTACGCTCCATATAAAGTCAACAAGAGGGCGACTCCCCTGCACGGAGGGCGTAACGGCTGTCAATCACGCAGGCCCGTAAAAGCCTCAGCTGCGTTGAGGTTAAAGATTCCCCGCCCGACGATGGTGCCGGCAGCAGGTTGCCATGGTCACCGTCAGGCAGAGGCAAGTCGGAGTTTGTTTAGCTGGATGATAACACGATGATGTGGTGGCGCTGCAGAAAATCTGGAAAACCTAAAACACAGATTTATAGCGGGAGGAAGGAGCAGACAGATAAAAACTAAAAAATTACACACATACTGTATGACAAGTCTGAAAACGGTGGCAGCGCTAAGTCACAGCTCTGCCTCGGGCTACTGAAATGTATCACCTGGCACACTCAGACAGAGAACAGATGTGCTGCTGGCGGAGGTTCAAGTCAGCAGTTTTTGAACAAGTTGGAGTCTAAGCGGTGTTGCGAGAGAAAAAGGCTGTTGGAGGCAGGTAGGAGGACAGGAGCTGGAAGAAGCACAGGTTAGTCTTATTTCATCTGCAGTAGATGGTAGCGTACTTCTGGTTTTCTATTCTAACAGTGCAGCGGGTAATATTGAGGGCGATCTATTTGCAGAAATGGAACAGAGTTGTAATAACTGTGTTTTCCACAGTGTATGACTAAGAATCATTGTGTTTGTTGCCTTATAATGAGCCCTTTCATGGGGTGTAGTCCAGTACCTATACTGCCTTACTTTCCCACATAGCAAGCCAGAAAAAGCCCCATTAGCAAAAAAAAAATGCTAAAAATACCAGGATGTCCAAATACAGCCAGCGTTTCCGTCCATTCTGACCCACAATCCTCTGCGCAGTGGATGGTACATCACATACGTCACCCTCGATTTACAAGCTTGAGTCCCCGAGAATGTACAGACAGGTGATTTCACAACGCAGACAGCGACGGATATATGAGCAACACAACGTCAAGATAAAGTAGTATGTCTCATTTGTATAACACTGCAGGCAGCAGGGCAGCTTTAGTACATACTGAAATTAACAAAGGATAAAATATAGGATTCAGGGTGCAAGGATAGAGTCAGCAGTGTTGCACCGCCGTGTTTCTACAGTAGCCCAGAATGGACAAACCTACTTTATAACACAGCTTAAGTACTGTTTGGGTTGTCAACCATGATAAAATGGAAAAAGGAAAAGAGAGAACAGGAGGCTGGAAAAAGAAGAAGAAAGAAGAGGAATCAGTAGCTGCTGGCTAACCATCCTGTGAGAAATTAGAAACTAAAAGAGAAGCAGAAGAAAAAGCCACATCATTGTTGTCAAAGGAGCAGAAACATGAAGAAGCAAAGTCAGCATGGACAAAAACGAACAACAACAAAAATCACTGATGCTTGAGATCTCATTTTTCTTAAGTTGTGGGCACCGCAAGCTAAATGTGATTGACCTTTATTTATCTGTGCGGCTGCCGATCACATATCAGCATGTTTAAGTTAAATGTAAACCCAAAGCTCAAAAACTGACTAAACCAATGCTTTACATTCGGTTGACTTGTGGACTTACATCATCATAAGTGTTTCCAACAACATTCAAACTCACAGAAATCGAGAGTTTTTATTCAGTATTGCGCTGCGTTTCATTTTGGTTGCCTGTGAACGTTATCCTTTTTTTCCCGTACGCCACGAAAACATGATAAACACCTATATACAGTATATAAAACATGTACATCTGTCTTTAATATACAGTTCATAGGTGTTAACCATGTCTGGAAAGTGCAGAAAATGTCTAAGTGGCTTAAATCTGCATTCTTTCTCACAGCCAGCAGGGGGCGACTTCATTGTTCGCAAAAAGAAACAAATTGTATAAAACGCTATGAAAAAATTCGTCTGATTCTCACTTGATTTATTTCGTCAGTAAACATTTCCCTCATATGAAATACATATTTTGATTGAAAGACCCCTAGTGGCAGAAATGACGTACTGCAAGTTTAAGTGTAGACTCACCAGATTGATAATATACAGACAACTGAAGTTTGAAAAGAACAGGACACACAAACACAACTTACATTATCTCAGTTTATTTTCAAGGCCAGGGACAGACATAATCACATCGTACAATGTAAAGAACAATATAACAGTAATAAATACATGATACACCAGTAGAGAACTTTCTTACAGGCACTAATTACACTTAAGCAGGCACTAGCTGTTTTTACAGTGTCGTACAACAGTAGCTGAGGAGCACTTGTTCGACTTTTAATGTTACTTTGATAATCAAACGGTTCGTGTTTGAAGCGTTTTTTTCCCTCAAATATACCTTTGAAATACAGCTACTGTGGAGTACCAGGGGTTTCCTGCCTGTAAAAGGCAAATTCAAGTGTTTTGTTTTGATCACCAAAGTGTTGAAATGTAACATGGATGGCGGTTTCTGCGTCTGTTTATTGCATAAGGAATTTATATGAGCTTCAGTAGTGTTCCCTCATCCGGGGCTTAAAAAGCAGCACTAAAACTAAACGTACAAAATGCTGGCTTGGACTAGTTGTCGTGTGCTGTGACACTACTGAGAACCAGCATTTGTGCTCTGAGCTTTAACACTAAAGCTACTGTGGGTGTGGAAAACACCACGTCTCTGTGTTTGTCATGCCTGTGTTGCAGTGTGGTGTTGCTAAATTGTCCTAGCTGTGGCTGTAACAGGTGTATGAGGGCAGAATAAAGACAAGGCAACAACTAGAGTCTAGTTTGTTCACTGTTTGGCGGCTGCTGTGTATGTTATGAATATATTTACTGTCAAAAAAATGCACCTATGCACTACCTTGGCTCCACAATACTATTACCTTGACATTTGTATTACACAGTTTGAATAGAGATTATTATCATGCCTTTGATGACTGATGACTATTTTTGACGTGTGACTTCAAAATAAAAGCACCCATACAGACTTATCACGCAAAAAACAGAAGCCATGCATGAATAAAGTGCTCTGTTGCAACTGAATCTTGGTCAAAACTTCAGACAAAGACGTCCGCGGCTGCACTGGTTAAACCGAGGGAACATAGACAGACCCGGTGTGACATAAAAGGATCTAACTGCCGGCAGGAATGGTTAACATCGTGGGATTTCCACTGAGCACGAGTAAACAAGTAAAACCCTACAAATGATACAAGAGTCTGGAAGAAGACGCCTCCTCCCTCCGGCTTTGAGCAAAAAACGCACCAGCAGTGTAACAGCATTAACCTTTAAACTGGCGCCCCCTTCAGGTCATACTTAAACCCATCACCCACTGTACTGCTAAACAAAGACATCAAACTTACTGAAACTGAAAAAAAAAAATAAACATACAGTCAGCACAGTTGTGACGACACACACTCACTCAATATACGCACACACACACATTTACTACCCGACACGACATAACCAGGTAAATTTAAATGTTTGATCTAACAGATAGTTTACAGTATGTACAACGCAGAGTTACATATGCAGCATTAAACAGCAGCTTTACACCATGTGTGTGTGTGTGTGTGTTAACGTGTGTGTGTGTGTTCCTCAGACCTCCACAGCAGGGTCTGAGCCCAGTCCCTGAGCCTGCAGCGCCTCCTCCCTCTTCATCTTGGGTTTCTCTGTCCTCGTGTGCCACACCAGCACCTGCGAATCGCACACAGTAAGCATTAAAATCAAAGACAAACATTTGCGTAACAAACGTATTTAGAGGTCAGACTGCTCCGTCTGTTGGGAATGAAAGGCCAGCAGATGTTCTCCTCACAGGAAACACTCTTGTTCAGTTAACTCAAGACACTGGTTAGTTCAGAAGGTTACACACAGGCTTCATTACACGTCCTCGTCTCTTCGTTGCATCAAGTGCAAACAGTCTGATGGAACGTTAGCTCATATGTTTTTGTTTTGTACCAGCATTGACAAGGTTTGTTTCGAGGTTTTCTGTTTCTTCTCAAATGTCGATGACCTTGACCGTCCTCCGAACCCTGAAACTGCAATTTTTAGGCTGCTGACAACAACTAGAAGCTCTGAGATGCTGGAAAATGATGTGAATCCGATAGAGATTGCAAAGAAGATCATTCTTAAAATCAACAAAAATGAATCCTCACCTTGTTTTGAACTTTGGCTCATCGACCTTTCCAGTATTTTATAAATGGAAAAGATCCAATAAAAGATGCAAAGCACTTCTTGACTGTCATGACATCTCTTTTTGTTTCTTGTTCTTAAAAAAATGTTTGTAGATTTATAATATATTTGAACAACTGTATAACATAGTGCTCTTTAAAATAAATAAAATGCTATAAATATATATATATTTTAAATTATGCCGCAACTACATCTTCACGTAGTAAAAGCAATGAGTTTCTGTTTCCTTTTTGACAGAAACATACATATTTTTCAGTCATTTCTGAACATTTGATTAACAAAAATGTCATGATTTAGTAAATGAAACTCCAGGTCATAGAATAGTTTAAAAATAGTTTTTCAACAGTAATATGACTTATTATGACTTTGTTGCATAACTGTACATTTCACTTCTTCTTCTTTTCCTGAAGTTTCTATTACACATAAATGGAACCGGCCTCCAACGACTGTTGCATCATCTGCTCTAAAAGATGACGTCTGTGATTCTGGAGAAAGAATGTTGACATGTAGCTAGCTTGCATATTTAGATTAGCTTCTGTTACCCTCTTTTCACTTGTCCTGTGCACGAGTACAAACATGCACGGACCTTGCTGGTAAAGTGTCGTGTGGATCACTCTGAGCCACTTTGCCATCGTTGTGTATGAACACCAGCACTGATGAGACAAAAACACAAGGGGCAAGACTTTCTGACTCTACCTGTAACTAGACTAAATGACAAACACAAAACAGGCCCTCAAGTCAACGTCTTTCTCATCGTACTTTGGAGCAGTTGTCCGCTTTGGGTTCCAGTTCGTCCATCGTCACCAGTCCCTGAAGGAAGCTGCTTTCCAGGAAGCCCATCGGCGCCTCTCCGTCGAAACAAGCCTCCGGGTTGGCCAGGACCAACTTGAGGGACACAGCGAAGCCGGCCATGTCCATGGGGAAGGGGCGACTCGGACGCCAGCCGGTATGGAAGCGAACCACCTTGAACAAATCAAAAACATTTTGTAATGGTAGAAGGGATTCTGGAAATGCATCTTTAGGGTTTTACAAAAATAAAAACACTAATTCTAGCAAAGTTTCTGCAGATATTAGCTTTATAGTGGACGACAGCAAGAGGATTTGGTGTTTTTAGGCATTTTATGATACACATGCACAACTTTTAAACCTTTAAAAGACTAGTAAGTATCAGTCTATTTGAGTTAGGTAGAAAAGAGTGCGAGATAATCATGTTTAGTAATCAAAATATGACCAGAACTAGATGTATTTTGTAGAATACAGTGAGTCTGCACAGCTGTCATGACTGCAGGAACATACGTAGAAGGATAAGTGAGTAATTTCTACTGTAACAGAAAAAAGACATCAGCAAATGAAGACAGTCAGATGTGACTCTAGAAAATTTTCAGTCAGGATTTTGGGTATTTTGGGTCAAACTACATCTAGTCAGTTTTATTCCATTTAGGTTTGTGGTGAGTAATTTGGCCCAAAATACAGATTCTTCAACATTATCAACCTCAGTCTGGTTCCTTTCCTTCTACAGCTGATAAACAACCGTCTACCTTTCCTGCTTCCACCACGGGCCTCTCATATTTCATCCCTCCAACCAGCCCCACCGGCCACACTGAAACTCTTTGGGTGCTCCTCATCTGAGGCGAGACAAGAAGACATTAGTGTGTAGACATCAGGGACAGAAAAAAACAACAAAAAACCAAGTCATTTGTCAGTATAATAGAGAGATAAATAAACACATTCACACTCCATTACCCACCTCCTCAAATATCTGCAGGCTGTATGTGTTGTCGTCATCAGCAAAGTAAACCACTCCCTGCTGGTTGTCTCCTCCTGGCTGAGCCCTTCTGTCCTCTCTCAGCCACCGTAGTCCCTCGTTTCTCTGCTCGACTCCGCGAGGCTTCAGCCAGCTGGGGTCGCCCTGAGGGGGAGAGCCAGCATTCAGATCGAAAGTGTTAAAAGGAAAAATGGTGACTACCAAACTCCTTCTCATTCAGACATGATGAGACAAAACTACATCCCCTACCTCCTGTAGTTTGCGGTCCTTGGCGGTGGGCATGTGGAGGTGAGTGTAGGCGAGGCCACTCTTCGCCAGGAGTTCGCTCACCAGCGGCGTCTTGTGCGGCGAATCCTCCACCACGATCCAGTGGAGCTGAGCGACGTGGAGGAAGGTCTGGGCCAAACGGGTGAGCTCGGCCTTCTGCACCAGCCTGCACCGGGACAGAAATCACAGCGGTGTTGGTGATGGAGGAGGGTGGAGATGGAAGGGTGAACGCTCAGGAAGCTGAGCAAACAAACCTTGCATATGTGGGAGTGATGACAAAGATGGTGGGCGGGGAGGGCTTGGCTGGTTGCTTCTGGGGTTGTTTTGTCGCCTCGGACTTCCTCATCTGCTCCTGAAGGCGGTGCAGCTCCCCCCGCAGCCGGGATATGATTCGGTCTTTGGGCAGGTCGTGGTCGGTGCAGTCACAGCGCTGGCCTGTCGAGCATGAAGGACAAATACAGACAGTTTAAGGTATGCAAGCAAACAGGAATTTCCCTTCCTGCACACATGATCTGCCTCCTTAAACTCTAGTTGTACATACATAGTGAATTATCTGCATTAGTTGGCTGTTTATATCTAATGTTATTAAAGTATACTGGAAGGACAGGGGTACATGTGGCTGTGTAGTGACCCAAAATGTATTTTCACAAATGTTACATGAGTGTCTCCTATTAATTTCCGACATTTAGAGTACAGAAAATATGGCTGCACAATGTATCGCTTCAGCATCAACAGTTCGATGTGCAATAGTGATGTGAAGTCAGACAAATCAACTCAAACACATCCAACATGTTTTGCTGCTTGACACAAAACAAAAACTCACATGCTTCTCATTTCCCATGACTAATCTGCAAGAGACGTCCGTCTAATAGAAGATAATTTACTCCAATTTAAGGGTCCTTTGATACAGAGTTCTGTTTAACTTAATTGACAAGTTAGTTGACATGCAGGCTCTGCAAGTGCACTGCAAAATGAGTGAGGAACAGGGGAGAACTACAAGAATAAAATAGTTTTCTCTAATAAAGCTCAGGCCTACACACATCAGAATAATCTATCAAAGTCAAAGGAACGGTTACATCATGAAGAGAAAAGGCTTCAGCTGCTTGTCAAACATCCACCATGTCCATTTTGTTTAATAATCAGATCAAACTTTTTCACTTTAAGGGCTTTCATATAAACGTGGATGTCTTTGGGAGTTAAATAGTAAGGCTGCTTCTTTTTAAAATGGATCTTTACCATGTTTTCAGTTTACCCCAAAAATCTTGAACTTTAATTTGTAAACCTTGGCTTACATTTCATACTGTTTTGGAAAATATAGTGACAAACAGTTCATCAAAATCAATCATCTGTGGAAGAAAATTAATTGCGTACATTAACTGATAAGTTAAATAGATGATAGATTGATCAATAGAATAATGGTGGTTAGTGGCAGCCCAAATAAAAGCATGAATGAGTGTCTTTTACTCAAGCTTGGGCACAGCGTTTATCAGTTTCTCGTGTTTTTAAGAGGCCAGAGTGAGGATTTAGTTACAGCTTTGATGGTCATGGTGTTAGTTTTCAGTGGCCGTGACTCAAGGTAAGCACTGAAGGCCAGCCTTGCTTCAGTATCACCAAATAAGCAATGATTACTTCTCAACAAATTGAATTATTCCAGGCATGTGGTGCAACTCTCTGTACTTTTCCTAGCACGGTGCAGCCCTTCAGTAAATTGTCCTTTACTGAAGTTCACTTTGTTGTCCTCACATCCTCAGTGTATGTCATTGCCTGTTCCAATGACAGGGGTCTGGCTACTTACCGAGCTGCATCAGTGCATAGACGAGGCCCAGCAGGGAGACCATGAAGTAGAGCACAAACACAGTCTTCAGCTTCAGCTTCATCCTCGTTGCCATGGTACCCTGACCAGCTGAGAGGACACCAGTAAATATGACAGAAAAAATCACTCTTTTAGATTTCTTTCCCTTTTATATAAAGCATATTTTCCCTGGAGGTTGTGTTGAACTAGCAAAATAAACTACATGAAAATGTGAGCAAAACCCCAACAACTAGCTAGCAAACTAGCTAAGAGTTAACGCTCCCCCATTCAGCTACGTTACACTTTAATTTCCGGAGAGGCTGAGTGCAAAACGACAGAGCTGAGGATGGGTTTGCTCACGGTGCTCCTGAGAAGGTCGAGTGATGCGAATGTGTGTTTAACTTGGTGGTGAAGCAGAGGAAGCTAAGCTACGTTAGCCTGACAGGCAGAAAACAGCTCGAGCAGCGTCCGTCTGCGCTCACCGGCGGCGGGAAACGTGTGCGGACAGGAGCGTCGGAGCGGAGCGAAGAGCCGGAGGCTTCAGCTCATGTTGGACAGATGTGGTCAAAGGCACCTCACAGCATCAGGGCGTCCATTCATTCGGCTCAGCTAGGACATTTCTCTGCAGCAGTGTACCAACAACTTCCCGTTTCGGTGCAGCGCGGTAAGGCGTCCCCCTCGCAACGTGTGCAAGGACAAAACAGTTCCGCCAAAATAGGTAAAAACATGAGAGCTTAACGATGTGAAAGCCGATTTACAACAGAAAAAATAAAAATTCAGCACTACAAAAAGCTTGAAAAACTTTTTTGAAATGCTAAGTTAAAACTGAGGTACAGCAGTCAACAGAAATCAGTTTTCCTTTGTGCAATTATCAATTAAATTATTCAGAATTGCATCACCTCTTAATAACTGCAGTGTTTCTAAATTGAACCGAGTATTTTCTTTCATGAATAATCTAAAACAAACACTTCACAAGGACTAAATTCAAAATGAATGACCCCAAAGTAGAAACCAATAACAACAAAAGTGAACACACTTGTGATTACTGACAGGCAATTTAGAAAAACTGTGATCACTGAAATAAATCTCACTAAACCATTGATTTTTAATTTGCCAAGCTGCATGAAAACTGTTCTAAAATGAACTACAAACACCAGAACTTTCTCTGTTTTGATCGACATGCCTGCATTGTGGCGCCACATAAAAAAGAAAAGTGCATTTCAAAAAAATGTTACATTTTGAAGAAGTTATTTAATTCGTCATTTAAGAAAGGTGATTATGTTGAATATATATTGTCAACTCATTACGTGTTAATTGAAATATTTCAAGCCTTTGTGTTTTAATTTTGCTGATTATGGCTTTCATGAAAATCAGAAATCCAATATTTCAAATTATTAGAATATTTCCTAAAATTTTAAAAATCACAAAACAGAAAGGACTCCTGAAAAGCATGTTCATTTATACACTCAATACTTGTTTTCGACTCCATTACCACAAATCACTACTTTATCACTGTACTGAATCTGGAATAAAGTAAATTTTCACTTTTTTTATAAAGAAATAGAAGGAAAATACTAAACTCTTTCACATCAATCTCCATGTTTAAATTAATGTCTTAACCATTTTAAATAGTATAAATGTCTTTAATATTTAAACTCCAAGTCAAATAATGTATTTCTAGTAGAATTTTATTGTTTTTTTATTCCATTTATCAGAAGAAATTTGATTGTCTACCATTAAAGATGATCATAAATGGCAATAAACAACAAATACAGAATAAAGGGGCGTCTCTTGAAAAGTCAAACAACTTTCCTTTATTTGTAACATACAAATAAAACACTGACAAGGCAGAATGACTTAGTTTTCCCTTTCATTGTCATTTATGGACAGGACTTTAACACTCACTCTCAAACATGGAGGGTTGGGGTTTGTTTTTTTTTGTGATTTTATTTATTATTCAACATCATGTTTAAAAAAGTGTTTCACCTGTAAAAGGCCAAGAAATGAAGATGGATTCACAACAGCTTATATATATTTATATATATACACATAGAGAAAAGACCAAGAGAAGTATCTGGAACTTTGTGAGGGTACGTAACCATTTCCTAAAATAAAAAGTAATCACTGACTTTAAAAGAAACTGGGTAAGTTCAGGCTCCAACTCATGGTATTGTCACAAAATCATTTTTACTTCCAGTGAGCCTTTTTTTTTTTTTTCTTTTTTCTAAACAGCCCACCTGCTTGGATTGAATGAAACCGCCGAGCACAGATCTAGAATCAGCTTTGTAGCGTATTTACCGTCATGCAAATTCACATTTTCAAGGAGTTTAGGACAGATTCTCTTTCACTGCAACATAACGAAGAAAAAAATAAGAAGATAATTGTTACTTTTGTGGTTGTGTTTGAGAAGTAAAAATTAAAGTTCAAACAAAAACTGACTCCAGATCAGAGCTGTGCGTCCGATCCAATCCAGCCACCAGCAAACCGACGAACATGGCTGTTAAGTGAAACAGATGAGGTTTGATTACGTTTGATTAACCTGAGAGAGAGACTGTCAGTCGATTGATCTACTACCACTATGTACAACATCCTCTTTTTATTGGAACCTATGCAGTAGAAAAAACAAAATGAATGAAGTACTGTGCTAATAAGAAGGAAGCCTAGTCCTAAAACAAGCAACATGTTAAACCATTTTCTGTTGTTTATGATCAGGAAACAAGAAAGTGTCTCCAGGTGCTGGATATTTTTTGTCTCAATCCGGAAACAACGTGAAACTTTCCCCCCAAGGATCTGGACTTTTTCTGTCGTTTTTAACTTGATAAATTTGTGTAATCGATGATTTCAAGTCGGAAAAGTCTCGCCTACTTCACATTTCAATCTCCTGCTTCACATACTTCAACCAGGCGTTTATCTGTAAGAGATCTTGATATGACCAATTCAAAGACGAGGCAAAACGTACCAGCTTAAAGCCCTTCGCAGTCACGTTAGATAAAGAAATCTCACTCCTCCAAACGAGCCGAGTACAGTCCTGGAAGTGTTATGGGGCTTTCTAGAGAGGGCAACCAGACAAAAAGACACCCACCAAGAGGGTTTTGTAAACAGATGTGGAATCACTGTGGTTGAAGTGGCAGCCTGTGAGGGTTAAATATCTAAAACCCTCCTCAAACATCTTAGAATATTCTGGACTAATTATAAGCGGATGAGCAGCTTTAGCGTTAACTTCATGCATCTCTCCCTTCGTTCTTGTACTTCGTCAGCCCCCCCCACGTGAGGATTTCAGATGCTGGTTCACACAGTGTGCAATCCTGATTAAGACTATCGTTTCCGTTAAAACACTTTTAAACTCATGCAAGCCGCGAAAAACAAACCGAGGACAACTTCCCTCCACTTCCACTCATGCATCCGTCTCATTCATCAGCTCCAAGCGGGGATACAAACGGCTTCTACCGACCCTCCTCCACGTTAAATCAATATGATTTGCTCATGCTAGGGAAATAGAGACGGGACGGAGGATGGTAGCGTCAACATCGACTCGTTTTTTGTAATCATCAGTACCTCTTGGAAACTAAAAGAGGCGAGCGGGAGTAATGCAACTTCACTAAAACTGAAAACGAGAGCAGCAGCAGCAAGAAAAAAAAATTAAAAAGGAGGTCTGCTGTCTTCATCCGGCGCCTTCAGGCACAAAGAACAGGAAGGGTGGGTGCAGTTTCACAGGAGGGGGAAAACGGTTTCAGCAGGTAAATCTTAAAGTATGAAAGAAAGAACAAAAAAAAGATGGCGGATGAAAAGGAGGAAACGAGCATGCAGCTTGGATAAGGGCTGGATGCAGATTTACAGCAACTGATGATGAGATTTTGTCTTATTTTATGAGGAGAAAAGAGACTTCAAGGAAAAATAAAGGCAACCTCGGACATCTTATAAAAACTAAAAGCAAGGGAGACGTCTATTCATTTCACCTGAACAGAAGAGATGATCGTGTACCGTCATCGTGGAATATCGTTGTGGGTTAGCTGCAGTGCAACAGGGCTTCTCATGCGGCTTTAAACTACACTCGGTGTCATCTTGAAACAAGCTGCGAGGTCCAAGAAACGACACAGAAACTCATCCGTTCGGTGTCGTCGACAGTTTGATTTACACAGAATAATCCCCATCTTTAAGTTCCTCTAACACAGCCCCGAACTACGGTGTTAAGAAGCAGGATGATTCAATACAGTACAGCACGTTGGGAGATGAGAGCAGGATGGTCGCAGTGGTAGAGAACGACAGCGATGCTTTTGCTTTTTCTTGACTGGGATCTACTAATAGTCATAACAGGGAGAAGAGAACAGATGAGAAAAGATGGATACTGAACCAAGAAGTTGGAAAAGAGGAAACAAAAAAAAACCACAACTATGTGTGAAAGCTCACACTGCATACTGCTTTTGTAGCAGGAATACACAAAAAAAAAAAGAAAAAAAAAAAGAAACCAAAAACACACGAATCTCAATCCATAATGCGACATCAACATCCACGTGTTCCGCCGTCGGTTTTTGGCGGCGCTCTACGGCCGTTTCCAATTCTTGCGGACTAGCAGGCAGCTCAAGCTTTCACACACAGCCATGAAAAGTTGCTGGCTTTTTTTTTTGTTTTGTTTTGTTTTGTTTTGTTTTTTCATTTAAAACCAAATGTCGCAAACCCAGGAGCCCGTCAGTGGCAGCAGCCGCCGCAGTGGCCGCCGCCGTGGGTGTGTCCCGCCGAGGCCTCGCCGTGTTTGGTCCGCCTGCTCAGGATCTCGTAGGAGCAGTCGTCGCCGCAGCAACCGGACATGCTCGGTGAGGTCTCGTCGATCTCGAACCTGGAGGGTGCGACGAGGGGGGTGGGGGGGGAGAGGTTTCAGGTGAACAGAGTGTTTCCCTGCAAAGCTAATCATCTCCTCCACATTTCTCCCAAGTCAAGCGGAAAGCTAATTAAATCAGAAACTCGTGGCCGTCTTGTGAAGCACAAATGATCGATAACCACATCGAATCATTCCAGCAGAACCACCACGAACTAATGAAGCTGTTTAATTATGAGGATCTTATAATCAGGAGGTATTTTTGTTTCTAGAGTGAAAATCAGGGATCTCTATAATTTCCCAGACTCATGATAACTTGTTTGAATCGCTAAATATTCTCAACACTCGTCTGTAGGTTCCAAGAATAAAAAAAAATCAGAAAAAATGGTCTCTTTCTGCTGTGAGATGCCTTTAAGCATCTTGTGATCTTTCAGGCTGAACTTGTAACACTGCAACACTCAGAGCATTTTATTAACACCACCACACTAAAGAGCCTTTTCTCTCCAGTCCTCTGACTGCAACATTACTTGAATTTTTATAAAGTGATTCAGATTATTTTTTCTTCCACCTTTCAGCACCAATGTTCTTGTTGCTTCCAGTCTTTTTGTGAAGTCTTTCCTCTGAGTTTATTAAATACCTGGAGCCACTAGAGCTTCTGCAAACTCATCATGTAAATCCTGAAGATGTTTTATTGAGTACATTAAACCGGTTTAAGACGACTTTAGCTAGAAGTAGCTGTTATTAGATGGTAAACTGTGGCCATAAAAGTATGCACAAGGTCAACAGCAGGACTCAGACCGACTGGTATTAAAGAGAAAACCTCCCCACACCATCACTCCTGGACTGTCTACACAAGGCATGTCGAGTCAATAGATCCATGCTGCTGCCAAACTCTAAACTTATTTACGGCGTGTTTGCGCCCTGTGAAGCATCAGATTTCTGTTTGTGTCTGACAAGAGCAGAACTTAACGAAATCTTATCCTCTTCTACTGGGATGCTGTAAAGCCATAAACTTTCTGAAAGCTCCAACAAGTTCTCCGTTGACCACTTCTCATCAAACACGGGTTTCTATCTACAGAAATCACTGCAAGCTTTTGGATTTTTCTCATCATTGTGAGACAGTCTGTGCGTGAAAGTCCATTGGTGGCATAAAACTCAATCTGCACACTAGAAACTCTCTGTAAAAGAGGGAGGCTGCAGTTTTATGATGTGATTTTACACTCGGAATCAATATTGACAGTGTTCAAATGTGCCCTTTGGAGAGCCCGTGTACTCACTGTAAAGCTTCTCTGAAGAACTGGTACGCCCCGTGGTTGTGTTTGAAAACTGTCAACATCACTTTCTTCATCTGTGTACTGCACAAAGAGAAGGAAAAAAAAGAAAAAAGAAGAAGCAGAAACATTTTTAATTTAGCTTCACATGACTCGAGGACAAACATTCTCCCTGAAGTTGTCTTTTACAGTTTTCTTGTCAACAAATAAAAGCCGTGTTTGTGTATCTTAGAGGTCTAAATGTTAAATTCTTTCCCTTCTTTATGAAAAACACTGAAAAAGTCAACATTTAAAACATTTTAAGTCCTTCTTTGTTTGCCTACAGTGTTTTTTTTTCTCATGGGACAGTTTAAAAATACACAATAATGCCTCATTATTTAAACTTCAATGAGCTTAAAAGTTGCAGAAGAGTGTAATCCTGCAGTGTGACTCAAAACTTGACTTTGCACACTGATAGATAACAAATTTATTATGGGTGCTACAGGTGTCTGAATTCCCTGAGTACCTGTTAGCGATGAGCTGTAGTATCTGGATGAGAAACTTGCCGAGCCCTTTCCTCCGCACTTTGCTCTCTAGCTGCACCTCGTAGCTGCAGAGTCGAGAGAAAACTTTAAAGAAAAACTTCTTCAACACACTCTAGAGATCGACAGGCGAGCGCCTCCTCACCAATATAAAACCTCCTCGCCGCACTCCACGTCGAACCGGAAGTGCGAGAAGGCCACGGGGGCGGAGTCGGAGTCGCGGGCCAGCAGGTACCACGCCCTCTCGTCGTTCATCTCCTCCCTCTTTTCCCTCTCCTTCCAGCCCCACTCGCTCTGCTCGTACCTGTGACGGCAGAAAGAAATCGGGCTGACTCGACCTCCGGCGCGATAATTTCGGCACGTCGTCGTCGTCACGCCGCTCAGAATAAGGACGTGTTTTCTAAATGGAACAAATCAAGTTTCCACTGACTGGCTGCCATTTGCTAAATTGAACTCGACTCATTTTTTTTTTTGGCAAAGTGAGGAGAAGATAAATTGCAGTAATTCCACCACCTGCCTGCATTACCTCTGCTCTCCTTTTAGCGTGTGTGGTCACATAAAGAACACTCTGATCTTACTCTGCAGTCACTTGATGGCACTCTAAGAGAAAAAAAAAAAGGATTTCTGGCCTCTCTGCACTTGTTTCCCAGCTGTAATCTAGCATCTACCCGAGCCTCCTCATTCCTCTCTGCGGAAGGTGGGTCACCCTGTTCCTGAGCTACACTTGTAAACCACAAGAACAGGCGTCTTACAGTGTCTGCATGTTGGCTCTGGTGAGTTCGAAGGCCCACTCCACAGACAGCGGGTTGAGGGAGGTCACTCTCTTACACTCTATCTGCAGGTTCAGCCTGGAGGGGAGGACAAGTTAACAAGGTCAACCAACAGTGTACAAGCATCAAAGCGGGAGACAAACAAGACAAGAGAAGCCGCCAGCAGATCGACTCTCCCCTCCGTGCAGACAATAAAACAAAGTGTGTATTTCATGGAATGCTGCATAAAGCCTTTGTAGACGTACGAAGCAGTGCGTACCCGTTTCTGTCGTACTTTTTGAAGGCTGGGAAGGCAGCCAGTGGGTCATCAAGCTGTGAGAAGAAGGGGCAGAATTAGCCTTTGAAAACACAAGATTATCAACAGTCTTCTGTGTTTTCAAGCCGAGCTCTTCTGTCAAGCATCCTTCAGGCTCAGCTAGAGGCTCAAGGACCTAAATAGCCCAAATGGGGCAGGAAAATGACGGAGCTATTAGTGTTATGTGAGCTGGTCGCTCATAATAAGGCAGTCTTTTTTCCCCCTGCTACTGTGGATATACATTATCCAAAATTAGGAACTCGTGCTGACGGATAAATCGGGTTTTCCATTGAACATGTGCAAAAGACTGCATGGAGAGTAAATATGCAAACATTTAACATATCAGATGGCAAAGACGCAACTTTTTTGGTTCTCAAAAAATAAAAAATAAAAACTTCCGCAATGTTCTCGTAATGTTTTCTGCAGGATTTGTACTTTTTGTTCCCGACAAGGTTTTCTTTAAGCGAGGATAACGAAAGACATTCTCAAAATGTTTGGCGAGAACATTGCTAGACAATTACGCCACAACATTCCTAAAGTGTTTCCCCAAACGCTCCACTGAGAACGTCTGCCTTTGTTAGCGTGTGACATTATCTGTGACCCCGACCTCAAAACCTCCTCTGTTATGTCTTAGCTAACTGTTAACGTTGTGGGAACGTTAACTTGAAATGACAACTATCCTTCAAACGTTCTTTAGACATTAGATTGGAACACGCTCTTAAAAAACGGGGAATAGTTCACATCCATAAAGACATCCTCAGATTCTTAGTGGCAAAACGTTCTTTTGTTAGCACATCACATTACAGGAACGTTTTATAAGAAACATCTTGTCAATAACAATCGCAGAACATCTTTTAAATATTAGCCTGAGAATGTTCTGCCTTTGTCATCATGCAACATCATCTGCAGTCGTCACAATACCTCAGAACTGTCTTAGCTAACTTTTAATGTTGCGGGAACATTAACTTGAAATGATGAATATCCTTAAAACGTTCTTTGAACATTAGATTGAAACACTCTCTTAAAAAAATGAGGGAAAATGAAATTAGAATAGTTCACATCCCCAAAAACATCCTCAGATTCTTACAGACAAAACGTTCTTTTCTTAACACATCACAGGAACATTTTATAAGAAACATCTCGTCAGTAACAATCGCACAACATCTTTTAATAAATATTAGCCTGAGAATGTTCTGCTTTTGTTATCACGCAACATCATCTACTGTCCTCGCAATACCTCAAAACAGTCTTAGCAAACATTTAACGTCTTTGAACTTTCTCTATAAAAATGCCTCATTATGAGAACTTCGGGTAATGTTTGCCAGCGTTGTGGGAACATTTCTGCATACATGAGCCATACTTTCACACCATTCAGCCAATCAGACGAAGCCGCAGCTCCCTCCAGATGAACTGGCGACTGAGTTCATGAGGTGGCTGAAGGAGGAGCAACGAAAGTGTCTCGAGATGTTTTTGTAGCGTTTAAAAGGCAGCAGCAGGGGACATAAAACTGTAATTTCTTCTGGCTGTCATGTCTTCTTCGAATGAATGTGCTGTTTAATTGGTTGGGTAATCACTCTTGGATAATAAAGAACATGTTTGAAATCACTTTATTCAGAGTTTGGGGTCTTTGTTAGCAGTGTGTTAAAGTAGAATGACATTCACATCATGGTGCCAACACTGATCAATGTTATCAGACATCATGGGTTTTCCTCATATCGCGCAGGTCTATAAAGGACACCCCTCTTCTTGGACAGATTGTGGACTATTGAGCCCTTGGTGCAGACACTTTGACCACATCTACAGTCATACATTTTCACTTCACAACTTCTGTGATGTATGTTTACAGCATCTAATCTTGAACTTTAGAATCCCCCAAAACTGAGTCTTCTGATACCAACTCCCATGTCTGGCTTCTGATTGGGCCTTTACACTTCCTTGAATCTTTACACTCTTGTCACTTGACCACTATTTTGTAAGACATCATTCTGGCCAACAAGAGGTTCGTTCAACATCTGAAACACATTACAAGCTTGTAACCTTAAGAATATCTCTGACTTTTTGTCACTGCTGCCTGTTGTAGTGTTTTACCCCTGCTTCCTGTTTACACCAGCTCATGTGATTTATCAGGCATGTTAGTGTCAGATTATGACTGAGAGTAGATGAAGATCGCTATGACATGAAGCTGTGAATGCAGCCTTAGACTCCTGCTAGGACTGTTGGGTAATCCAGCCATACCTTCTTTCATTCTAAGCCTGGCCAGGATCAGGATAAAACTGTGAATGCAGCATTTGTTGGATTGAAACAATAGTCCAAGTCAAGATTTATTACTGTTGGCAAGAGCATAAACTAAAAAAAAAACATTAGTTTGGGAGAATTTCTTGCATTCCTCCTCTGTTGGCGCATCACCGGCGGAGAGGGGGGCAGAGAGAGGACAGCAGAGTGCCCCATTTCGGAACAAACTGACACAGAAAAAGTAATAAACCCGGGCAGGCCTGTGCGGAGCTTGTGGAGGACGCTGCTCCAGCTCATCTCGTGTTGTGTGAGTGAGCTTTGTTCTCCTCCATACAGTTTAATAATCCTCTAACCCACCTCCGAGCTGCAGGAGCCGCGCCATCGACTAGACGGCCAGGATTTAATGATTCAGATTAATTATGCATAAAGAAACATATGGCGCTGGATTTGGCTTTTTCCTGCCATGTGCATATCAATTATGGGTGTAATTACAGTGAGGCCATGACAACTCCTGGAACTTATCAAAGAACACGAAAAAAATAGAAATCAGAGCTCAGGATGGAGGTTTTAAGCGTCATGTTCATGAACACAAGCGGCGCATGCTTTTTGCTCCATCGCAGCAAATACAAAGCCCGCATGTATTTTTAACATCAGTGCCGCCGCCAGAACAACGCAACCCGAATATTTGTTGCAGTCAACAAGCAGCGAAACACCTCCCCACGTCGATGCCAGCTGCCCCGGTGGATAATCTGGGTCTAAATTACCTTATTGGCTGCGTCCACCTTGGCACACACAGCGTCCATAGCTGCCCTCTCCTCCAGACGCCGGGCTTTCTTCTCTTTTGCTCTGTTGGACTTCCTCTGAACACGGGAAGTAAGGGAGGAAATGAATGGAGCAAACATTAGTGGAGAAAAAAAAAAAAACAGGGACAGAAAGAGGGTAACAATGGAAGAAAGAGATCGACAGATGGGCCAGAATTACAGCATTTCACTCTGACAAGGCATTCGTTATATCAGTGAATTTATTAGCTCAGAGGGCAAGGAGCTATCATCATCCATTCATTTACTTCACTGAGATGTTTTTGTCACTTAATCAATCCTTCCCTGTGTCTCATATGATCATTTAGAAGCGATTCTTTCAACCTAAATATCCACCGCGGGGCTGTAAGAATAACTTCTCACTCTGGTTAGGGTTGACACCATTCTTCACTGTGTCTTTAGCAGAATCGATGCACGACTATGACAGTGTGTAATCCGGTATGAAAAGGAACTCCAGCACAAAGAGAAAGTGTAGAAATCTGGTGGCACAGATCAAAGAGCTGAACCTTAAACACAAAACCAGGTTGTAGTCGTGTGTTTGCCCGACACATTATAATGTCAAACGTGCCTTACAGTTTGAAGTGCGACTAGAGATGGTTATGTCAGTACAATCTATGCACCGTAAAGTCAAATTTTTCTGATTTTGCAGCAAGAACAGAACAAACACACACATGAAGGTCAGCCACACAGATCAAATATGACATTAAAAAACGCTGCTATTATTAACGCGATCATCCCATCTACGAAATAATGGGGAGACAACGACGACGACGAGCTGGAACAGGAAAAAAAAAAAGGAGAATTCATTTCATCTGAGTAGCTTTTATGGACGCCATTAACACGGCAGAGTGTTTATATCGCTGATGTTGCAATTACTCAGTGAGTGGGATTATAGTATTGGCAAATTTCTCTGATACTCTAATTTAGCCCTCCCCTGGTTTGATGTGCAAAGCATCAGCGATGGTGCAGCAATAATTCACACAAATGACTCCGACTGCATCAATGCCTCGCAACAGAGAGATCACACACTTTAACAGCTGCTATAAATATCTCTCCTCACACTGGGGTTTTTTTTTTTTTTTGGGCTGCCTGTCACTATCGACGAGGAGGAATGTAATCAATCATAAAGAGGCGTGAATGTGTCTATTTACAGCATGTTAATGTAGTGGTGTGTTCAGGGTGCAGCACTGATGCTTCTTGGACAAACAATGGCATTGGACAAACAAGCAGGAATTAGCTAAATCCCTTCCTACTGGGGCTGAGCAGAAGAGGCAACAATTAGGAGAAGGAATGCAATGATCTGCCAAGTTGAGCTCAGAGCATTAAGTCTGTACCAAGCAGAGAGAGAGGCTGCAGACTGAGCTGGGACTGTGAAAACACGTGGATTGGTTTATCTGGAGTGAAAGTGGAGGATAAATTCAAGGCTGCTGGCAGGGACTAGCTAAAGTTAGACTCAAGCTTTACAGCATGGCCTGGCTGAGGCTGACAGGCGACTCTTATTATCAACTTGATCTGTTTAGAAAAAAAACAGGTGGGAAAAGACACCACAGTCTGGCCTGCTGGGTTAAAACACACACACAGGATGAGTGATTAGCATTAATGGCTAGCAAAGCGCTCGCCATTTGCTCGTATGGCATTCCTCAGCGGCTAACGCAGCTAGCAGGCGAACAATGTCACAACACACACGAGAAGTTCAGTGTTCCCCAAAAGGCAAGGACAAGGCAGTAACGACGCTGGAAAGAAAAAAGAAAAAACGCCATTTAAAGCCGCGTGTGAGCGTGAATGCTAACGTTGCAAATGTTAGCTAAACGGCTACCGCAGCCAAACACCTTTAGCTACATCCATCCACCACCACGGTCTCTCTTCCTTTCCCTCCCTCCCCTCCTTCCCTTTTTTTTTTTCTTTCTTTTCTGCCCGTCTCATCATTTTTACGAGCCCAAATCATCCATCTTTCACCGCATCACCCCGCACCGAGACATTTGAGGAAAACACAAACAACTCACCCCCATTTTGCAGCCGTGTCGTATCGATCCCCCCGGAGAAACACACCTCTATTGTCCCGGTGCGCCGCCGCTGCTGCCGCCGCCGCCGCCGCTGCTCAGTTATTATATCGTGACTACGGGCAGAGAGAAGGGGCCAGATTAATATGACAATGATAGATAGCGTGCTAACGAGGCTAGCTGGCTACCGAGCGACGGCCGAGGGAGGAGCGGCGGCGAGGGCGCAAGTTTGATTAATGGAAAGCGAGCTGTTTGATTTCTCTGTCAGTCGGATTGGCGCCAACAGGCTCAATTGATCGCAGCTTCTTCTTTGCCCTTTTCTCTGCTCTCCGTCGAGTCCGGCTACGCTGCGTTCAGGGGCTCCTCCTGGACTCGGACTTTTGAACGTTTCACTCCCCGTTGGAGTCTAAAACTGCTGAAAGAAAGCAAGCAAGCAAGAAATGATAAAGGCATATTTTTCTGTCATTTTTAAAAATATTTTTAGATCATATTTATGCGTATATGTATAATATGTGTACTGTTTATATATTTCTGACAGCCCCTCAGTGATCAATAAAGTATTTCTGATTCTGACATATTCGACATTAATCACACGTAAAGTAAAATATTTCTTTATAAAATACTTAATACATCTAAACCTGGTTTGTTATTAAAGCATTCATTTTTTCCCCCCAAAAAAATTAATTCATAAAGTTTAATTTTCATATATTCTACAGTAATTTCACATAAAGGGAAAATTTCAAGTCCTTTTTTTGTTTTTAATTTTGATGATTGTGACTTATAGCTCATAAAAATCAGAAATCCAGTATCTCCAGTTGTTAGAATGTTTTCTAAAGTCAATCAAATAAGGATTTTGGACACTGAAATGTCGAGCTTCTGAAAAGTCTGTTCATTTATACAGTCAATATTTGGTTTCGGGCTAATTTACCACAAATTATCGTCCTTTTTACACATTTCAAGTGGTTTACATAAAATACTCTACAACCTTACTAATTCTCTGGTGATTAATTTGCACATTCCTTCACAATAAAAGCATTTCTGTTACTTTTCTTGACTTACAGCAATTTAATTACACTTAATCACTGCTAATTTTACTTGCAATAACTGATGCTTACATCTAGTAACACTTACTTTCGACTGACTTGCATCACCTTTTAAAGCTACGTGTTAAATCTATGAGTACATTTTCATTTCAGCTCTTTTCTTGATGACTTTACTCGTCTTTAAATAGTGTTGACAGTCATTTAACTGCCCCAAGGAGATGAAAAGAAGTGATTGTGAGGTAAGAACATGTGATATTTGATCAATACAAAGTAAGTCTTTGAGTGTATGTGGGGTTTTTCCAAAGCTTAATACATATATAAGCCTTTTGCTGTAACATGAGAGTAATGTGACGGGTTGTCCAGTAAATTGAGCAAAAAATATCAAATGCTTTTTCTGTAATATGTGAAAATGTGAGAATGGGACTTCAGTGATATCAAAACTCTAGCCTTGCTAATGTTAAATTCCTTATAGATTCTGTACATTATCATATAATACAGTAATATATCAGCTAACAAGCCGCAAAAAAATGTAAAAATGTAATATTATCTGTCTAAAAGTCTAACTAGCTGACTTTAGGTTGAGCTACTAACATTATGCTACATTAGCATGCAGCACTAGCGAGCTAGCGAGCTTGAATTCTTCTGCTACTGTAGGCTAATTATCACTGTGTATTAGACATTATTTTTATGTAATTACTTTAAATATCAATGACAATAAGTTAAAGTTATAACCTCTGTTCAGCAGTTGTAAAATAATTGACAAAACTCAAACTGTTTAAAAGACAAATCTAAAGTAATTTCTATGTGTTACATAAGATTTGTGTTGCAGTGAAAGTCAGCGTTAGCATTCAAAATCAGAAAACTGCTCAAAGTGAATGTACATTTTAGAACTAAATAGACTTTCCCCAGTTTACCTGATATATATTTTCATTTACTTGATGTATTTTTTATTTTGATCTTTTACAAACTAAGAAACAAAAAGGTTTTAAGTATATATACACATACATTTGCATTAAACGACTGTACTAGAATAAGTGAGGGTACAACTCATGCTAATCAGAGTTGACAATACAAGCGCTGGAAATGATTTTACATGAACAGAACACTGCTCCGTCCTTTTTTTTTCCAGCCTTCAAATATGAATTATGAGCTCATATAACCACAGAATGTTCTGTCATAAACACGATCAGATCCATATGTAGGCCGTTTTATAGATTTGCTTTCATGTGTTGGCGTCTCTTTTACTCTGTTTTATTCTTTTATTTGTACCAGTTGGTGTTCGTTCTATTAATTTATGTGCATTGAAAATCTGTTGTTTGGATTTTTGCATCTTTTACCAGGTTAACTATTTGTCTGCCTTTTGCTTCTCTGGTTTTTTTGTCTTTCCAGTTGGCCATAAATGTCTTTCTCTTGTAATACTGTGGAGTAAAATGCCCAACAGGTCCCTTTGAAATGCAGCAGAGTAAAACTTTATTCTTTTCCACCAATAATTATGTAGATCAGTGTAAAAAAGTTGCTGAAAAGGGTTTTTATTTGGTTTGCATGATTATTCAACTCACCTTGTGGTGAACAAATAAACTGCACACGAAAACCTTTAGAGTCTTATCACTTTACAAACATTTATATCAGTGGTTTTACCGTCATGACGCACTGGACCTGTCTTTTTTAATTCTTTAGATTAATATTTTCACGACACTTTCTGAGAAAAGCTTTCTGGCAGCGGTGGGATTCGAACCCACGCCCCCGAAGAGACTGGAGCCTTAATCCAGCGCCTTAGACCGCTCGGCCACGCTACCACATGGTGCCGACGAACACACCAGTGCCCTGTAGGTCAATATTCTGACAGCATGTGAACGCACCATTATTTAGCGCCAATTTGGTTTCCCTGTTTAGAGAAGTGACGACAGAAGCTCAGAGGGCAGGACAGGGGTTGAAGAAAAACTTTAGATCTTCACCATAATTCTTTTTTTATTGTATAAAATTGTATAAAACTAACAGCATTAGACAAGAAGATTGAAACTACAGTGTTGCAGCAGAAATTTAAGCATCAAAAAACACCCAGAATTTATATTAAACTGACATGAGGTAGGTCAGAAAAACACTAATTAAACAAATAAATAAATAAAAATATTTAAAATAAAAATTGAACAAAAACAAGTAGAATTAGATAAGACAGAACTCTTGGTGTAAATTAATTAAATTATATTATTTGCAATATAATGCTGAAAATTTTAATTTATATTAAGGGGAATGCTGGTCTTTTTTTGTTATTATTACTCTCCAAATGTGAATTATGAGCCTGTGATTGTAATTAGATCCATATATATTGCATTATATTTTGAGTTGTCATAATTTTGTGTTTTCCTTTATATAAATAAAAACACTTCTATTATAAATTAATGCAGAAAAAGCACCAATTGTTGCTTAAAAAATCATCAGAATGTACAAAAAGAAGTGTTTGATGCTCAAAATTTGATGAAAAGTAACCCCAGATCCATCACTTATTGTGCCCTCTCCCCAATATTCCAGCTAGTGGTCTAATTTATATTAAATTTATTGTTTTTTATTGTAATTTCTTTTATATGTTCCACTCTTTGATTAGAGGCCTGACTATCATTATATTGCAGTGCAAGACGGCAACGCAAGGAAACCACAGGAGGAGAAAAGCAAAGGCAAAAATAAAAATATAATCTATTACAAGACATTTTCAGTACAGATAAAAACATTATTAAAAACTTAATAACCATGTAAAAGTGCAATGCTTTGAAATCTTTGATAAATCTTTGATACAAGATGTAAAAACATGATAAATGCACAAATGCAGTAGACTGTTCCTTTAAAGTGAAGTGAGTTACATCTGAATAACCAATCAGATGAACAGGAGACACCACATTAATTCACACTGACTTCAACTCATGCTCCCAAGAAACTGTACGTTGAAAACCAGCATCAGTACCTTAAATTAAACGGGATTCGTTGGACTGATTGACATAATGTGTGAAGGTAAAACTAACACGGCTGCTGTCTGTTGCCTCCGAGCTGTTGTTCCATCGCTCACTGTCCATTCAGCATCTCCAGGTTTCGTCTCTGACTGCTTGACATCAGCGTGACTCAAACGCACAAATTACAGTAAAAGCAAGCTGCGCATGTAACAGAAATAACTCATTCACACGTCGTGAGCAACTGATTATGTCACCAGGTTTGAGTCATGCAGCTGGGAGGTTAATTGCTGTAAAGGTTTTGGAGAAGTTTTGTTCAGCACTGAGAGGAGTGAATGCTGTTGACAGGCTCTCATTTAAAGACTGGTTTATTTTTATGTAGTTATACAAATATTTAATAAAATGCTGAAATTCCTAAATTTAACTATTATCAAAAATTCTACCTGACAGAGGAGAGAGCCTTTGTCATGATGTAGAAAAACTGAGAGACATCCAGTCTATCACAGGGCCACACTTAGAGACAGACAACCAAGCACACTCACATTCACACCTACAGACAATTTGGAATCACCAATTAACCTCAACATGTTTTTGGACCTTGTGGGAGGAAGCTGGAGAACCCGGAGAGAACCCACGCTGCATGTGGAGAACATGCAAACTCCACGCAGAAAGATCCTGGGACGCGAACTGGCGAAAAAACAAGAAGAAGAAGAAAAAAAAAGCATGATGAAGAACATTGAAATCTGTAGAAAAATTCAATTAATTATAAAGTCTCCTTATTATTGTTTAGTTTGTTTCTTTTAAACATATTATTATTACTATTACTATTATTATTATTATTATTATTATTATTGTTATTATTATTATTATTATGTAACATTTTAAATGAAGGGTAGTGCTGGTTTTATAATAATTATTTTATTTTATTTTAATGGATCTTAAAATCACAGTGTACACTCTTTGCCAAACAATAAGGCAAAAGTATAATTATTGTTATTATTATTATTATTATTATTGTTGTCATTTGAAAAAATCAGTAGAAAATTTAAATTAATTATTATCATTTAATCTGTGGGTTTAGGGTTTCTTTTAAAAAAATATTATTATTTTAATTATTATTATTATCATTATTGTTGTTATTATTTTATTTATTTATTAAGATTTTTTATTTTATTTCATTTTTAAATAAAACTATATGGGAAAAAAAACATTGGACTGTGATACATTTAAATATTGACTTTGTAGAGTACATCCTTTGCCAAACATAAGGCTAAAATCAAAATAGATAACACTTAAATTCCACTTAACGCCACAAAAAACCCTCTAGGAAACCTAAAATCAGCAGATATTGGGTATTTCCAGTAG